CCATGGCTGGAGTGGCTTCAGCTGCACGGTCGACCCGGACACGGGGAATTGCGATGACTATGCCACCGGCAATGTGCTTCTCGCTCACATCGTCATGATAATCGCGATCATCTTGTGGTCGGGCATCCTCTCTGGCCTCACCTTCTTCGTGCTCAAGATGACCGGGAAGTTGCGCATCGACGAGCACACGGAGGACATCGGGTTGGACGCCGCCAAGCACTCCCCGCCCAAGGCGTACACGATGTCGACCAGCGCCCCCGCGGAGCCCAGTATGAAACCTGGAGTCGCTTTTGGCTGAGGGCGTGCCCCGCCCGCCGCTTGAGAGAGGCTAACACATCTGCGCGGCCAGCTCTCTTTTGAGAGGGCCGCGCGCGCGCGCCAGCGCGGGGTAGAGCTCCGCGGCCGGCTCCCTTGAGAGGGCCGCGCGCGCGCGCCAGCGCGGGGTGGAGCCCCGCTGGCGGCTCCCTCCAAGAAGGAGCCAGGAGCCCGCAGTTGCACGTCTATTCTCAGGAGGGGAAAAAACACAGACACAATGAATCGTCGATTTCCCAGCAAATATAGGAAAATATGAGAAGTGGGGGGGAAGACAAAAACCCAGAACATATAGGATCATATCGGGAATCCTGTTGGTTGTGTGTATTTATTTGTGTGTTTGTGGGCCCCTTCAGATTCGCTTCGACGCGCGGCGAGGCCTCTCCTCAGAGGGGCCCGCGCGCCTGCGCGCGCGCCAGTGCGGGGTGGAGCCCCGCAGCCGGCCCGGTCCAGGGCACCGAGAGGAGCGCGCCGCGCGCACCAGGATCCGTTCGCTTTCGCGCGCGTCGAGGCCTCTCGTTTGCGAGGGCCGCGCGCGCGCGTCGGTGCGGGGGTGGAGCCCAAGCGGCCGGCGCGGCCGGCTCGCTCCAAGAAGGAGCGGGGAGAGCTCGCAGCTGCACGCCGCGCGCACCAGAATTCGCTCGCTCCGACGCGCGTCGAGGAAGGTGCCATTGCCAGGGTGGGTGCGCTTTCCCAGCCGCAGTTGCCAACGCAAGTTGCCAACTCGCCCTTGGTCGCTGGGCGTTTGTCGTAGGACGACACCTCCCCATGGCCATGGCCTGTACGTCAGAGTTACTTCGGCGATGCTTCTTCCTCGCCACATTGTCCGCCTCCGTCTCTCTGCGAGCTTATTGCTTTTTGTGCGCAGCTTCCCGCTGTGCCACCACCGTCGCGATTGACGTCTCGTGTAGCTCGTAAGTTTGGGGGCTGAGCCAGGAGGTGGCGTAGGTGGCGAGTCCCTGTCTCTTTGCGCCACCCGCCTGGGCTCAGCCGCACTGACTCAGTCGAACACGCACAGAGCGAAACCGCACGCAACCGGGGCTTGGCCAGAGAGCTTCGGATCCCGACTGCTTGGATGTCACGCAAAAATGACAGGCAAGTGCAGGGAGGCTGGGAAATGTAACCCCAGGAAGTCTTTAGTTTTGCTCCCCCCCCCCCCTGGAGCTCTCGGCGGTGAATAAACTCGTCCCGAAACTCGTCCGCTCCCGAAACCTCTCCTCCTCTTCAAAGTGCAGCTCTCGCCTTAGCGCCGCGCTTGCGACAGTTTCAAGGATGGAGGGCTCGTGTTGTTCAAAGTGCAGATCTCGCCTTAGCGCCGCGCACATTCGTCTCAAAAGTTTGCAACAGTTTCAAGGATGGAGGGCTCGTGTTGTTCAAAGTGCAGCCCTTGCCTCAGCGCCGCGCACATTCGTCTTAAAAGTTTGCAACAGTTTCAAGGATGGAGGGCTCGTGTTGTTCAAAGTGCAGATCTCGCTTTGGCGCCGCGGGGCTCCCCTACACGACAGAGGAATTCTGAGCGCGTTTGTAAGATAAGTGCAATATAACTCCACTCGTTCGTCGTCGAAGGCGCTTCTACCAATCTTCTCTTTCTCGCCCTGTTTGCAAGAATATTTTGGTATGCGCTAGTACATATGTAATGCATGTCTTAATCTTCAGCGGCGGGGCGCCGATTAATTTCCCGCTATTGGCCGCCGTGCTGAATAATGTTGGGGGGGGGCCTTTCTCCCAGAGAATACTGCCCCGTGGGCAACCCTACACGACAGAGGAATTCTGAGCGCATTCGCAAGAGAAGTGCAATGTAGATCCATTTGTTTGTCGCCGAAAGCGCTCTTGCAAATCTTCTCTTTCTCTCGTCCTGCTTGCAAGAGTAGTAACTGCGCTAGTACATCTACATGTATGTGTTCATCTTCGGCGTCGGCGCCCGCGCCGCGGGGCACCGATTAGATTCCTACTATTGCGCGACGAGCTGAATAATGTTGGGGGGTTCTTGCTCCCAGTGAATAATGCCTCGTGGGCTGCCCTACACGACAGAGGAATTCTGAGCGCGTTTGTGAGAGGATTGCAATATGGACCCACTCCTTTGTCGCCGAAGGCGCCCCTCGCAGTTTTCTCTTTCTCTCAACAGTCGAACAGTTTGCAACAGTTACAAGGATGGAGGGCTGGCGTGGTTCAAGGTGCAGCTCTCGTCTCAGCGCCGCGAACTCTCGTCTTAAAAGCTTGTAACAGTTACAAGGATCGAGGGCTGGTGTGGTTCAAAATCCAGCTCTCGCCTAAGCGCCGCGCACATGCGTCTTCGTCTTCGTCGTCGCATCGCTGTCGTAGTCGCAATCGCACACGTACTCGTTATCGTCTTCGTCTTCGTCTTCGTCGTCGGGCCGCCCGAAATATAATTATTTCCCGCTGTTGTTGGGTGGGGTCGTTGTTCCGAGTTGTCAATAACTTCGCCCGAAAGATATGTATGTTCCATCTACTGGCCAGGGGATTTCTAAAGACTTATCAGGGTTAGCTGGGGCCAGCCCTTCCACACTTTCCAGCCCTGGCCAGTTCCCCTTGAAGTCTACAGCCCTGGTAACCTCGTCCCAGCTGTTTCGAGCTCTTTTCAGCGTTTACCAGTTTTCTAGCCCTGGCCACTCTCATTTCATGCAACTTCCAGCTTCCACTTTTTCCAGCCGCCTCCCCCCGTCTGGGAAGGGGGGCTGGGTGGGGGTCGGGGTGCTCTTCGGCTCGCCCGGAATCGAACGAGAAAGACTTGCGTCGTACAGTCGGGGCGCTGACGAAGGAACCCTTTTCGTTGGGGAGGGGCTCGGTGTTCCTTGATTGCCTCAAAGTTTGCCTCGGGTTTTCCCGAGATCGGGGCTGGACCCCTCCTGTCGTGCCGGACGAAAGGGGGGAAGGGGGGGTACGAAATTTGCTGCATGCAGCCGGTTTCGGCCTCACCGAGGGGCCCATTCCTCGATACATAGCCGCCTCGGGTGCTGGGAGGCGCCGGGAAAATCAGCTAAGTGAGCTGATTCTCCCCCCCCCCCTTTGCCATCCCCCCCTTTCGCCCGACACGATCCTGGCGCGCTCCACGGGCTCAGGAGGCGGGGAGGGCCAGCGCCGACCCAGGGAGTCTTCGCACCTGCTCCTCCTGCTCCTCCTGCTCCTGCTCCTTCTCCTGCTGCTCCTCCTCCTCCTCCTCCTCCTCCTCCTCCTCCTCCTCCTCGCCCTCCTCCTCTGGCAGCCAGGCGGCGGGCGAGCCCTCCTCGCAGGTCTGTGCCTGTGCAGCTCCGCGCGCCTCCGGAGCGGGCGTCCGCGCGGACCTGCCAGGGCGGCCGACGACCTGGCTCGACCCGCCCCGACCCCCGATCCTCGGCTGCAGTCGTGCTCTCTCCTCCTCCTCCTCCGCCTCCTCCTCCTCCTCCTCCTCCTCCTCCTCCTCCTCCCCCTCCTGGCACGCTCCGACGAGCCCAGCGCCGATCCGAGAAGCCTGCGCGGACCTCCGAGAGAATCTTTATGTTTTGTGTCCCTCTGCGTTCTCCCAGAAGATCAGCGGGCGCCACACCTCGATCCTCGGCTTAAGTCGGGCGTGTCCCCCCTACAGGGGGATTTTCGAGGAAAACTTACAACATACGCAACAAACATACCCCCCAAATGGCAAACAAATGCTCAGAAGATAGTCCCCAGGCTATGTTTGGACTATTGTTTGAGTATTGTTGGGGCATTTTTTTTCGTCGAAAATCCCCCTGTAGGGGGACAGGCCCGACTTGATCCTCGGCTGCGGTCGTGCTTTCGGCACGCTCCGACGAGCCCCGCGGAGGCCGAACTGGAAGACGAGGGCCGAGGTTGAAGCCATCGGATCCTCGGACATCCAGGTTGGGTTCATGGCGACGCCCGGTCGCCACGCTCATGATGTTCCAACCTGCTTTAGCCTTGATCACCAGGAAGAACCTCGAGCGCCAGAGAAAAAGGACCCCCCAAAACTCAGGGCTTTCACGTGTCGGACCCTGGGAGACACTCGCCCGACGCTGTTTCGACACCATTTCGACACTCTGTTGACATTTTTCTGGGTGCTCGATACGATTTCTGGGGTGTGGTCCTTACGTAGGATGGGAGCAACATAACGTCACGCAAAGGCTTCCAAGGCCTCCCAAATGCGATCCGAGCAGATGGGGTCGGCAGATCGCGCTGCGTCGCCGATGCGACGTCGACGCATCGGCAATGCAGCGACGACGTCGGCGATACATCGGCAAAAATCGCGGGGGGAACTGCAAAGACGGCTCCCGCCCCAATATTTGTGCTGCATTGTCCCTTGTGTCACATCCTCCTTATTTTCCTCCTCCCCCTCCTCCTCCCTCCTCCTCCCGTGTTTTCCTTCTCGTCTCCTCTTCCCCCTCCTCCATCGTCCTCCTCGCCCGCCCGCCCTCCTCACCACGAGATGGGCCCGACGTGGGCCGAGTCCGAAGGGGCCTGGCGCGACAAGCGCGCGACCCGACCCCTCGGGCGTTGCGTGGTGGGGGGGCGATAAAAATCTGGGGTGAAGAAGTGTGCGCCGTTTGTGTCCGTCTGGGCCCCCTTTTGGGCTCCCTTTGGGGGCCCAAAAGGGGCACGAAACGCGCGCGTCCCCCCCCCCCCCCCCCCCCCCCCCCCCCGCCCCACTTCCCACTCCCATGAAGCAGTGCCTAAGCCCCCGTGCCCGCGGTATTCAGGGCGACGCCGACGACGCGCAGTCGTTCTTCTCGGCTTCCTGGCAGGTGGCGGACGAGCTGGGTCGCGCCTGGGGCGGGGGGGGACGGAACGAGCGATGAGGACTTCCCGATGTGTTGATTCATCCGTCCTTTGTTTCGATTCATCCATATCCGCCGCTCTAGGACTCAATGATTGGGTCGGATGAGAAGGGGTCGGAGGGTCGCGCCGCATCGTCGATGCGGTTCGATGAAGATCTCTGCTATCCACGCCGACGTTGCTCATACATCGCCGATGTTGTCGATGTGTCGCCGACGCGTCGGTAATGCATCGACGATGCGGCGCGATGTTCCGACCTCATCTAGTCCGACCTTTTTCCGACCCCATCAAATAAAATCACGTGAGGCACCCTCAAGGAACGGTGGATTGTATGTGTTCTGGCCCCGGAAAGCAGAACGCCTCCACTCGAGAAGCGAACAACAACACAAACATTGTTTTTTTCGGAGGGCCGCACCGTCTCCTGGATCCAACGCCGCCCTTGGCGTGCTCTTCGCGCCATGGAAGGGGGGCCAGGGTCGATCTGCGAAATCCGCGCGAACCTTAGGTATCGGTCTTAGGCATGTGCTGAAGACAGATGTCCGTTTCGCTTGCGCGTGTGAAGCTTAGTTTGTATTCCGCGTGTTGAATGACAGGCCGAGCCGAGCGGAATGTGCATGCGCTTGTTGCCGAATCGCCTGTGATTGTGTTGGCATGGAACGAAACATGAATGTATGTATGTGTACACATATATATATACGTATATATATATATAAGCCGCTCACGATCAAGTGTGCGGTGCCCTTCACGAAGGCGCCCAATCGGGCGAGCACCGTCTGGGTTCCTGAGCTTTAGTCACTCGTTTTTTGTCTTGAGGTACCTTGGACATTATGGTGTGTGAGTGTGAGTGAGTGAGTATATATATATATATATATGTATATGTATGTGTATATGTATATATATATATGTATATATATATATATATATATTTGTGTGCCCTTCGGGGTGAGCACTTGTTTGCTCAAGGAACTGGTGGGACAGGCTTGGGGTCCGGCGCTGGTGCCCGCCCGTCGGTGCCCGTGGGCGCCCCGTGGGCGCCCCGCGCCCAGGGGGCAACGTCGAGGTCTCGGGCGGTGCCCGTTCGTGGGCGCCTGTGGGCGCCTCGTGGGCGCACCGTGTGTATGTGCGCCTGTAAATCTATATATATATATATAGAGATACATGTATACAGACATGTATATATATATATATATACACATGTGTCTATATATGTATATCGCGGGTGGACAGACCTCCTACCCTGACACGTGCACATGTAAATCTACGTCTATATGTATATCTATATACACATGTATATATCTACACATACAGTGGGGGCGCGCATCAAGAAACCATGTACTTTTCGTCGGGGTACCCTGGGTTTCTCTGCTCCGCGCGCTGCGCGTTGGCTTCCCGCGGCCGCGGAGGGAGCTGCTGCGTTCAGGGGTGCTCCAGGTTTCCCCTGAGGTGCACCTCGCGCGCGGGTTCTCAGGGTTGGGTTTCTTGCGGCCGCGCCCGCACTATATATATATATATATATATATATATAAATAAATAACACATCCCTTCGCACGAGGCGGGGGTGCCTGGGAGGAGGCCCCCGACACGCCATGGGAGGACCGGGCCACCAGGGGCGCCCACAAAAGGCCCAAGACAGCCCAGAGACAGATGAAAAGGGCCGCGAGAGGCCCCGAAGAGGGTTACAGTCACCGAGCTATAGATCTGACGCGCCCAAGATGGCCTCCAGATGGCCAAAAAGGCTTCCAGCACGGCCCAAGGGGTCCCCAAGAGCACTCCCAAAAGGGCCCCAAGAAAGGGAGTCGCGGGAAATCCTGCGGGGGGGGTGCTTCCGGAGGGAGCTGTGGCCACCAAAAAAACTCCGACGTGGCCCCAACACACAGCCCACTTACGAGCTTCGCGAGCCGTCCCGAGAGAGTCCGAAGAGGGTCAAATCGTTGATTCCCCCGGGTTTTTCGTCTACGCTTTTCGCCTTCTCACGTTTTCCCGCTTCCAATGCTCAAAGACCGAGGAACTTGAAACCAAATGCATTCCCGAGATTCCCTTTCTCTCCAAGCTCAATAAATACGCCCCCCCCCGTCCGGGGGGCCCCACACCTCCCAGGAACATCTGCGGAACGCTCCCAGCACTGCGCGTTCCGGCCCTGGGGGATCCCCAAACGCCCAAGGACAGCCCAAGACGACCCCCCAAAAAACTTCCGTACCGTAGAAGAAAGGCCCAAGATGCGCGCAAGCACCTCAAAATAGCCTTGGGTCGGCACTCCAGGTTCCCAGAAAGCCTCCAAGAGACCTCAAGAGACATCTTGGAGGCTTCCCGAGAGCGCCCGGAGAACCTAAAATGGTTCATTGCCATTATTGTTGTTTTCTAGGTTTTTGGCCTTCTCACCATTTCATGCTTCCAACGCTCCAAGACGGCCGAAGAGCCTCCTAAGACCGCCTCAAGACCGCCCAAGAGGCCCCCAAGACGGGCCCAAAAGGCCCCAAGACTGCCGAAGAGGCGACCAGGACAGCCCCAGACCTTTCAGAACTCCAGAACTTCCCAAAGGCCCCCAACACACCCCAGACTCACTCTTGAGAAACCCCGAGAATGCCCCGACGAGGCCCCAAACGCAGCCCAATAGAGCTTCAAGAGTCGTCCCGAGAGAGCCCGAAGAGGGTCAAATCGTTGATCGCCGCTGTTCTTTTCAACGTTTTTCGCCTTCTCACGTTCTCCCGCTTCCAAAGGTCAAAGACCGAGGAATTTGAAAAAAAGGAATTCCAGAGATTATTTGTTTGTTCTCAAGTTGGGAATCCTACTCCCTATCCTCCTCCTCGACATTTCCTTGTCCATCATATTGGGCTGTCTTGGGGGCCATCTTGGACCATCTTGGGCGAACTTGGAAGCCAGCTTGGACCGTCTTGGCCATCTTGGACGCGATTGGATCACTGGAGAACGAAGTTTACTGGGCTTTCTGGGTGGCCGGCGGGTTGGGCCGAGACCCCATTGGGAGTTTTGTAGACAAGAAGCAACACCTTCAGAAATTTAGCACGCCGTGCACCCCTGTAATGAATCACCAGGGAGCGGCGGATGCAATGGCCTTCGGCCCATTCCGCTACTGTGCCTGGGTTGTCGATGGTCTCGGGGGCCTCTTCGAGGTTTCTTGCGGGCATCTTGGGGGCCACCGTCTAGGCCGTCTTGGACGAGATGGGCTCACTGGAGAACTGATTTTCCCGATCTTTCTGGGTGGCCAGCGGATTAGGCCGAGACCCCATTAGGAGTTAGTAGAACAAATACAACACCTTTCAGAAATTGAGCACGCCGTGCACCCCTGTGATGAATCACCAGGGGGTGGCAGATGCAATGGCCTTCGGCCCATCCCGCCACCGTGTCTGGGTTGTCGATGGTCTTGGGGGCCTCTTGGAGGGTTCTTGCGGGCATCGTGGGGGCCTCCAGGGGCCTCCAGGGGGCCTCTTCGGTGCCTCTTGGGTGCCTAGCTTCGAGGGGGGTCCAAGAAAGACCCAGGAGGGCATCGAGAGCTCGCTGAGGGAGAAGTCCAGGACTGCACCCGGGGGCGCCCAAGGTAAGCGCAATCAAGCCCCCAGGGAGGTGGCGCCTCCAGAGCGAAGCCCTGAGAGGCTCGAAACACCTGCAGCCACTACGCGGTAAGTCAGTGCAGTGTCGACGCGGCGGCGACCTTGTGCGCAGGCTTTCAAGGTTGAACGACCCCAGTGGCGGCGAGCTGGCCCGTATCCGACGATCTGTGATATCGGGAAGCCGCGATACCTTCCTCTCGCGATTCGGGGCAACGTAAGACTCGATTTCGCTGGATTTCGGGTTTGCCGAAGCTTTTTGACGGGCCCGTCCTGAATTTTGACGGTCCAGTTTTCTTGGGATGTCCGCATCGGGAGCTCGCGTCAGATTACAGACTGGGCCTCGTCATTTCCTTGGCGGCCCCGTCAGGCCAACCCGAGCCCCCCCGACCCGAGCCTCTCGTCTCCGCGAGCGATGACGGCCGTTGCAGTCAGCCCGCATAGTAAGGATGGGCAACCTTTCCAAGGCTACCCTTGCATCCTTGCCCATTCTGCCCATCCTTAGCCACTTTCGCTGGCCAACCTCGTTCGAACAACGTTAACATGGGCCTCCAAGGCCCTTGCATCCTTACCGCGCATCCTTATGATACGGGCCGACTGCACTGGAGAGGGGGGGAGGGGACCGGTACCATCACGATCCGCACCGGCGCCGTCGTCGGCGTTTTCTGAGAAGCAGGGTGCTCCTGTGAAGACTCCACCCCTCCTCCCACCCCCCACTGCGCGTGGCTGAGGAAACGCCGAAAACCTTGAACCTCGGACCCCAGTTGAGAGTGGGGAGACCAATAGGTAATTACCGATACCGCTACGCCCCGGACCTCTCCTGGGGGGAGTTCTGACCAGGCTTCCGAAGCGAAGCCATCGGTGGAGACGAGGGCCTCCCGGGAGGCCCCCCAAAGGGGAAAACGGGCGGAGGGCAGCAGCATTCGGGTTGACCCAAGAGGGGGTCCAGCGACACAGGGGTGGTGCAATGGATTTGGTGCAATAGATTGGTGTGGTTGCAATACATTTGGGGCGTGCAATACACTCCGGGGCGCAGATGTATTGCTGGATTTTCGCGTGCAATGCATGGTTTGCAAATCAATGCAATACAATTCTCCGGCGCAATACATTTGCAATACAATTGCCCCAAATCTATTGCACCACCCCTTTTCAGCTGGACGCCCTTTTGGGCGTGGTTGAAGTATGGGTACCTTTTCCCACCAATGTTCGTCGGTTCTCGGCGGTTGTCCAGCCTCGGGATGCTCTCCAGCAGCTTCGCATCGCCGAGTGCATTCCAGGGGGGCCCTGATCCTTCCGAACGGCCGCTGGAGAGCCGAGTTATGACACGAAAAACCTGGGGGCAACGTTGTAGACCTCCCAAATGGTGTCCGAGCAGATGGGGTCGGAGCGATCGGCGATGCGGCTCGATGTGGAGCTCAACAGACCGTGGCCTGCATCCAGAAAACTTATAACCCACAACCCAGGCACGGCAACTTGAAAAGAAGGGAAATCCTACAAATTCTTTTTTTTCAAGTTCGCCCCCCCTATCTATTCTTCCACAACGGACCAATATTCGGGCCCCCCTCAGCTCCCAGAAAAGAGCACAGGAAGCCTGTGAGGGCTCCAAATCGTTGAATACCTAACGGAAATGAATGGCTTCTGCGTGTCCGCAGTTGCCCTTCTATACGATTCCGAGGCTTGCGCAGGGCCTCCAAGAGAGTCCCTGGATGCAAGAAACGACAAACATTGGATTCCCTGAGTTAGCCCATCAAGCCTAGCTAGAACTTGAGCGCGCGCGAAGCGCGCGCTATGGTTGTATTGTGTATATGCCCATATATATATATATATATACACATGTGTGTATATGTTTGTATGTGTGTAGGTCTGTATGCGTGTGCGTGTGTGTGTGAATGTGTGTATGTGTGAAAGCGCGTGTGTGTGAATGTGTGAAAAGTGTGTGTGTGGGAATGTGTGTGCGAGTGAGTGTGTGAGTGTGAGTGTGAGTTTGATTGTGTGTGTGCGTCGGGGGTTCGGCCAGTGCCAGCCCGTGGGCGCCCCGCGCAGGAGGGGGATGCGGAGGTTTCGCCCACTGCCCGCCCCGCGGGCGCCTCGCGGGCGACGCGGCAGAGCTCGCACCGCGAGGATTCCTCGCGCCGGAACGAGGATGGACTCTCCAGTCGACCCGCCCCGTGGGCGCCTCGCGGGCGACGCGGTAGCTCGCACCGCGAGGATTCCCCGCGTCGAAACGAGGATGGACTCTCCAGTCGACCCGCAGGGTACAGTCGGGGGCCCTGAAGAAGGAACCCTTTTGGTTGGGGAGGGGCTCCGCGTTCCTTAAGTGTTTCACAGCTTGCCTCGGGTTTCCCTTATGTTTTCGACAGGAAATCGAAGGTTAACGTATGGAAAAAAGGTACCTCGTACCTTATTTTAGATTCCTTAGGTCAAGGCCCCGACTGTACAGTCGACCCGCAGAGTAAGGATGGGCATTCCTCCTAAGGGCACCCCTGCCTCCTTGCCTCCTGGGTCCATCCCAGGCCACTTTCGCTGGCCGCGCCCCGCTTGAAACGCTTCGAGATGGGGTTCCAAGGCCCCTGCATCCTTATCGCGCATCCTCACTCTACGGGTTGACAGTATATTCTCGTGTCGAAACAAGGATCGACTCTACCACTGTCCCCCCCGGCGCTATCGGTCCCCCCTGAGTCTCTGCAAAGCACATCTGACTTTGACCCATTCTCCATTTTGCATCTGAAGTTCACATCATCCCAGCTAGGCCAGTTTATCGACCCCCCTCGCGCCTGTCAAAGAATACTATGCGGGCGCATCCGTCTATCGCAAAAGGTCTGTTTCAGGAATCACTGACGACAAGTGGAACAAAGTCCGCACGCGCGCGCACATGTCGAAGTCAGGCCAAGCGCACCAGTCGTTCGTATAGCTTTCTGCTGAACGCTCCGACTGACGCTCGTTCGTGCACGACGTTAGTCGGATGTGCCGTTTGCTCTGGGGAGTGCGGGGAGGGGGGAGGCGGGAGCAGCAGTACCAGCAGGATGGGTAGCCAGTGAGTGATCTTGTGACCTCCTGCGCTACACGTCAGCATTGTCTAACATATGCCAATCTCCACTGAGCCATGGCATTTCAGCCCCGCCAGCCCACCCTCCTAGGTAGCGATAGGCCCCGCGAAACCCGAAGGAACACGCATACATCCCCATCTCTAGGTGGGTAAGTCGGCCAGTGGGGCCAAGGCCACGCCTTTGGGGATGAGGTTCGGTTAAAAGATGCTCAGAAGCTCGGCGGTGGAATGTGAACCCTACCCTCGCCGATGCACGATTCAGGCAACTCGACGGGCGGTGGGGGTGGGGTTGGGAATTCATCGAACGCGTGGCGAAACCCGAACACTACCCCCGCCTCCCATCGATTCAGTAGAATCGATGGTTGGTGGGGGTAAGGTTCGGATGTCGGAGAGAACGCGTTTCACGGGCCCTTGCTTTGGGAACATTCGGCGGCGCGTTTCGAACCGGGGGGGGCCCCCCCCCCAACACTCGGCGCCGTCGATCAAAACCAGGGGGACTCCCCCTGCCACTCCCAGGGGGGGGGCGTTGAAGCCCCCTCCCCCCCCCCCGGGCGCCAGCGCCGGCGGCCGCCAGCAGCGTCGACGGTGGGGACACAGCAACGATGACCAGAGGCAGCCCAAAGGGGGGGGTTCAACCCCGCCCCGCCCCCCTGGCGCGCGCCGAGGGGGACGGGGGGGGGCCCCCCCCCCCTTTGGCGCCGGCGCCAGCGCTGGCGGCGGCCAGCAGCGCCGGCGCTGGCGCCGGCCACGGCGGGGACGCAGCGACGATAAGCACCACTACCATCACCACCACCACTGGCCACCACCACAGCCACCACCACAGCGCCACCACCACGAAAATTCACCACCAATACCACCGCCACCACAATCTACCACGCCACCACCACCACCGCCGCCGAGCAGGCAGCAGCGCCACCACCACAACCCACCTCCACCACCACCACCACAAACCACCACCACACCACAACCAAACCACCACCACCACCACCACTACCACAACCCACGACCACCACCATCACCACAAACCACCACCACCACCACAACACCACCACACCACCACCACACCACCACCACCCACCACAACTACCACCAGCAGCACCACCACCACCACAACAAACCACCACACCACCACCACAACCACACCACCGCCACCACCACCGCCACCACCACCACCACAACCCACCACCACCACCACCGTCGTCCTCGTCGACGCTCGCCGCCGCCGCCGCCGCAGGCGCCGGCCCCGGCGCCGGCCCAAAAAAAGAAATCGTCGTCCCCGCCGCCGCCGCTGCCGCCAGCCGAGGAGAGGGAGAGAAGATAAGTACAGCCGGCCTGAATAAATAGGTCGACCCTGCCAGCTCAAGGGTACCCTTGTGTCCTGTGCCTCGCGACGCGTGCCTTCTTACACTCCTATGGCGATGTGGCCCTCGGAAGGGTCTCGTGTCTTCTCGCGTGTTTTGTCCAATCAAGGCCGACTGTATGGGAGGGGGGGGGTCCGGTCCCAAACCGCCCCCCCCCCTTCCAAGCGACCACAGAACGCGCTCTTTCGGATGTCGCTGCCTGGGAACATGAGCAGGGCAGGGCAGGTCATTCTGGGGCTATGGCCGCGCCGCGCTACCTCCTGGTGCGCCTCGGGGAGAGCATACCGGCTGAGACCGGCGCTGCCCAGGTTCACTTGTCAAGGCCCGCCTCTCGTCATCATTCTCAGTCGGCGGCGGGCCCTTGGGGAGGAAGGGAGGGAAAAGGGGGAAAGTTCAGGCGTTTGGCTGGCGGTGCTCGCGAGGGAGGATCAGCGGTAGCGTCACGCGGGATACGGTTCAATGCGGTCTGGAATCCGAGGTTTTCGGTCGGTTTTGTTGGATTTCGGCGGTTTCCCAGCCCTTGGTCTCAGAGTGCCTTCCAGCTGGTGCGCCTCGTCGAAGACTTTCCGGGGGGGCCCAGATCGTCTTGAACGGGCGATGGAGGCTCAAGAGGGATTTGCTTTCAAGATCCCCCTCCCTCCCGCCTCTCCTTCCTGAGTGTGTGCGTTGTATTGTTTCCCTCCTCTCCCACAGTTTTCGTCACATGTGGGGTCCCTCATCATCCCACTGCCCATTCGCGTACCACCTCGCGTCAGACGAACATCCCTTCCCCGTCATGTTGAACATCCTCTGCTCCGTGCTCCGAGCTTGTGCAAGACACTTGACAATATTGCCAACGAAGTGGCATGATTCATGTAACTGTTTTGATACGTTGTCCTTTCGGTTAGTTCTACCTCCTCCTACGCGCCTCGGAACGTGTCAGTGTCAGGGCATGCGCCAGGGGATTCGCCGCCAGGGGACGTGCCAGCGGTCGCGTCAGGGTGTGTCCCTGGTCCTCCCTCCTCCGCCTTGGAGGTGATCAGCTCACGCCCCCCGAGGCGGTTTCTTTATCGCTCCTGCTGCTGCTGCTGCTGCTGCTGCTGCTGCTCCTACTCCTCCCCCTGTCCCCCGCCTGCTCCTGAGCCCGCCTGCCCCCCCCCCTCGTGCTATCATTCTTCTGTGCTGATCCTCTCCTCCCTCGCCCCTGGCCCCTGCCCCCCCCCCTCCCTCCTCGTCGTCGTCGCTCTCGCTCTTCGCCCCCCGCGCCCGCTCGGCCCTCAGGGCGCCGTCGTCGACGTCGCCGCCGTCGTCGTCGTCGTCGTCGCTGCCGTCGTCGCAGTCCTCGTCGGCGTCGTCGTCGACTTCGTCGTCGTCGCTTTTGTCGTCGCAGTCCTCGTCGTCGTCGCTTTCGTCGTCGTCGTCGCGTTCGTCGTCGCAGTCCTCGTCGGCGTCGTCGTCGTCATCGTCGACTTCGTCGTGCCCCCTTGGCGCCACGGAGGCTGGACACGGGCCCGCAGTGGCGCGAGTTCCTGGACTACGACGACGACAGCAGCCTCTGTGGCGTCGACGAGGCGGGGCGTGTGCAGAGGGCAGTGCAGGAGCAGGAGAGACCAAGGGCAAGCGTTTTCGGGGTGGATAGGCTCACGGGGGGACGCATGGACCCGTGGTGGACTTTTCATCGCTGATGGCGGCCCGATAGCCCACACCGCCCAGGAACGTGCGGTTTCGCTATGATGGGCCTATGGCCCATGCATCGGCGACGAATCATCGCCGATCCCAGGTCGATGTCCCCCCCTCGCCCAGAGCCAGTCCCCCCCCCATCGATCCCCCCCCCTCCCCTCCCCCCCCCCCGAGAGAGAGAGAGAGAGAGAGAGAGAGAAAGAGAGAGAAAGAGAGAGAGAGAGAGAGAGATCGCCGTGCGGCGCAGGGGTCCTGCAGGAAACGGGCCCCTGGCGCGCCCCCTGGCGGAGGAGGAGGAGGAGGAGGAGGAGGAGGAGGAGGAGGGAGGAGGAGGAGGAGGAGGAGGAGGAGGAGGAGGAGGAGGAGGAGGAGGAGGAGGAGGAGGAGGAGGAGGAGGAGGAGGAGGAGGAGGAGGAGGAGGAGGAGGAGGAGGAGGAGGAGGAGGAGGAGGAGGAGGAGGAGGAGGAGGAGGAGGAGGAGGAGGAGGAGGAGGAGGAGGAGGAGGAGGAGGAGGAGGAGGAGGAGGAGGAGGAGGAGGGGGAGGAGGAGGAGGAGGAGGAGGAGGAGGAGGAGGAGGAGGGGGCGCCGCTCAAAATCTGCTCCTGGACCCGTCCTGGGGTCCGTCCCGGCCCGTCCTTCGGGGCGGCTCTGGCCGTGGCGACGAGACGCCGGCAGTCGGGAGGGGAAGAAGCACACAGACACAATTTCTCCAGATTTCGTAATAAAAGGGAGGGGGGTCTGGACCCTCCAAGACAAGCCATTTCAGACCCCCCCCCGTGGGAGAACCCTCCAAAACATCGTCCCCAGACCCCCCCAGGCCCTCCAAGATAGCCTGGAAGAGACCCCCCCCGAAATGAGACCCCCCTCCCTTTATTACGAAATCTGGAGTAATCGTCGATCCCCCAGGAAACTATTCAAAAATATGGGAAGTGGGGGGGGGAGACAAACACCCAGAAAATATGGGAAGATGTTGGGAATCCTTTTTATTTGTGTGTATTTATCCCCTTGCACAGGGTGCCTAGAGCTCCGACTACTTTATTTCGGCACGGCACACCCCTCATCACCTACACATTCCACCAGCCAGCGCGACCCTCCATCCCCCCCCGCATCCACCCACCCACCAGCACCGACAAGCCAGCCGTCAGTCATGAGGGGAAGAAACACACAGACACAATTCATCGTCGATCCCCCAGAAACTATGCAAAAATATGGGAAGTGGTGGGGGGGGAGACAAAAACCCAGAAAAGATGCGAAAATGTTGGGAATCCTTTTTATTTGTGTGCATTTACCCTCTTGCACAGGGTGTCTAGAGCTCCGACTATTTTATTTCGGACTAGGGTATTTATGGGAAGTGTGGGGGGGGGAGACAAGAAACCCGAAAAGATGGGAAAATGTTGGGAATCCTTGTGATTTATGTGTGTATCTATCTGTGTGTCCCAGGGCCCCTTCCGTCAGGAGAGGCCCCCGAGAGGACGAGGCGCGCCAGGGAGGGCCGCCGCGGTCTCGCCCGGGGGGCAGGCCCCCCCGGCGCGCTCCAGGGCGGCGCGCCCTCGATCGGAAGATTCGCTTCAGGGAGGAACAAGAACACACAGACACCATTAGTCGTCGACTCCCCCGGAAAATATGGGAAAAGATTGGAAGTGGAGGGGAAGACAAAAACCCAGAAGATATGGGAAAATGTGGGGAATCCTTTTTTTGTGTATTATTGGGAAGATATGGGAAGATATGGGAAGATATGGGGAATCCTTTTATGGGAAGAAATGGGAAGATATGTGTATGTGTGTCCCAGGGCCCCTTCATCATTGGCTTGCGCCACACTGCCGACCCCGTGGGGTGGCAGCAATCGTCCCCCGCGTGGCCTGTCCGGACAGCCTGTGAGGCCCCTCTAGACACGTTTTGGGACCCTCTCAGGAGCACCGTCCTGCCGTTCCCCCGGGCCATTGCTATGGTTTCTGGGGCCTTCGTGGGGCGCCCGGAGGCCGTGGTGGAGCCTTTTGGAGAGTCTCTGGGGGTGCCAGAGGTCGATCTTGGAGGTTTACTGGGCCGTTGTGGGCCTCGTGGAAGCGCAAGAAGCGAATATACTGAAAATGTATGTTTTCAATGGGCAATGGGACGGTTTTTGCTTTGGAGGCCTGCTTGGAGCGCCTCGTGCGTATGCAAGCGTCTTGGACGCCCATGGGGCTATCTGGAGGCAATCTTGGGCGGTTTGAACCGAATCGTCCCCCGCGTGGGCCGTCCGGACAGCCTTTAAGAGCCCTCTTGGCCCGTTTTGGAGCCCGGCTTTCCTGGGCTGTTGCTATGGTTTCTGGAGCCCTCGTGGATCGCCCGGAAGCCGTCTTGGAGCCTTCTTGGGAGCCTCTTCGGGTGACAGGGGTCGATCTTGGAGGTTGTTTGGGCCGTTGTGGGCCTCGTGAAGGCCCAAGAAGCGAATGTTCTGAACATGTACGTTTTACCTTGGGAATGGGACGGTTTTTGCTTCTGGAGGCCTGCTTGGAGCGCCTCGTGGTCGCGTTTTCAAACGTTTTGGACGCCCATGGGGCCGTCTGACGGCGATCTTGGGCGGTTTGGACCGAATCGTCCCCCGCGTGGGCCGTCCAGACAGCCTTTGGGGGCCCTCTTGCCCCGTCTTGGAGCCCTTTTTGGGACCGTCCTGCGCCTTTCCTCAGCCGTTGCTAAGCCTGTTGGGCTGGCGAGGGTCGATCTTGGAGGCTTCTTAGGCCGTTTTGCGCCGCGTGGAACCCGAATGGGCGAATGTGGTGAAAATGCATGCTTTCTTTAGTTAATGGGACGATTTTTGAACCTGGAGGACCTCTTTGGGGTGCCTCGTAATATTGTTTCAAACGTCTTGGGGACTTATGGAGTCGTGTGGAGGCAATCTTCGACGTTTTGGAGCGATCTCTCGTCGATTCGTAGCTCTCTTGGACCGTTCCGGGAACCTTTGGAACCTTTTTGGCCCGTTCTGGGGCCTCCTGAGGCTCCAAGTGTGCGGATGATGGATTTGCCCCCTCCCACCCTCCAAACCGGCTGGACCAGGTCCCCGGGGGAGGGGTTTGGGGAGGGGGAAGCATCTCACACGCCGTGACCCCAAGGGGTCGGCGGATTTCGACAAGCGGGCGCGCGCGCGCGACCGACAGCCTGGGCCGACATTTAGGAGGAGGAGGAGGAGGAGGAGGAGGAGGAGGAGGAGGAGGAGGAGCAGGAGGAGGAGGAGGAGGACGAAGAGGAGGGGGAGGAGGAGGAGGAGGAAGAGGAGGGGGAGGAGGAGGACGAGGAGGAGGGAAGAGGAGGAGGAAGAGGAAGAGAAGGAGGTGGAGGAACATGATGACAGGCAGACCCCGTCAAACCACATGGGTTGGCCCGTAAACGGGCGAGGCTGCAACGCAGTGGCCTGAACGAACACGCGCGCAACGGAGAGCAAACGTTGTGCCTCCGAGGGGGAGGGGGGGAGAGGAGGAGAACGGGGGTTGTTTGCACGTGTGGATGCAGTATTCGACGAACGCGTCTTCGTCATGTTCGTGTAGAGTGTCATACCCGCGAGATTCCGTATGCAACACATCACGTGCGAATATCTGAAGTGGTTTCCCCATCTCGTCGGAGGGCGTCCGCGCGCCTTCGTAGCCCCGTGCGTGTAGCGCGGGCTCCACACCATGACTTTCTGGGCCCATTCGTTTTCCGAATATGCTCACCCGGGCGCGAATCGAAAGAAGCGGCGACAAACTGTCTTGTGTTGTTTTTAGAAATCTGGATTGCATGGGCAACTGTGTCCCGCATGCGTCGCACGGTGTTTAACCCAACCCTCGCCTTCGCATTTTTCCCAACTAGAAATCTACCGAAACATATTGTGTTGAAGGGTGCCAGATATTGTAATTCGACAAACTGCTTTGAGGAGCAGGATGAGCAAACCATCTATGGAAGAGGGACACCGCAAAAGGTAACCACCTACGCCATCCACAGCTTCTTCAACAGGAGCAGTACGGGACCCGACATCGAGGACATGAGCGGTCCTTACTGCAGCAAGGCCCACCTTACATTCCCCACTACCGAACCGCCGCGTGGACCAAAGCGCGCGGGGATGGAAATGCGCATGATACGGAGAGAAAGTCGCGAATCGTTGCCAGACTGTGGCCACGGGCAAAAGAGCTTGCCGAGAAAGGCCTGGTCCGCCTCGTCCCACCGCCCGAACGGGGAAACATTGTGCAACTTCGAGCACACCCATATGATCCCCACCTCCCAGGTGTAGAAGCGTGCAGGCCTATGAGAAGGCAAACGGAACGCGATTCACTCCAAGTATTACGGGCGCGTCCCTATCTTCCGGCACGCGACGGACGCGAATCGCAACCTTCTGGAACCGAGCGAGCCAGTACAGGTCCTCCTTCACTTCACGAATACCTTGTTCACGAAAGTGGGCAAAATCGATACATCCTCACTGCGAGAACCTCATCTTCGATCCAAGAAATTCCATCCCAAACCTGAGATCTGGACAGGCTTCCACGCAGCCGACAGTGACCCCAACGGTGACTTCGCGCCCCTGGTCGAATAGTCGACGAGGAGTTCCGCCGCCGGCAGACCTACAAGGCGGAAGACATGGTCCCCATCAACAACTACAGCAGGATCGAGGCACGATTCAAATTCCATTTGGGACCCTTGACCAGCTATAACTGTCAGTGGCCGCAGATAGCCAACGCAAATTGGCACGCGCCAGCAGACGTCAGATACGAAGAAAGTTTCGAGGACCAGCATGCCATGCTCAACCTGCTGCCACCACGCGAGGCCCCCGCTGTCGCGCGGCGGCCCCCTCAGGAGCCGGCCGACTAGAAGGGGCCGAGCAACGCCCTCGTCTTCGCTTGCGCGAACACCGCGACGGAGGACATCCACAACCTCGCGCCCCACATCCGGAACAACGTCCGCCAGGAAGACAACTAAATGTTCGCCGAGATGTGCAGCCGCTTCTACAGGGGGATCAACGTTGCTTCAGCTATCAGGGTCCGTTGCTTCACCCATCAGGGCTCGCGCGGCTTTCTGAGGGGCATCCCCCCCCGCGCGCCCCGCGCGCAGGTGGCGCGGGGAGAGCGAATGCGGCCCCCGCCAGACACTGCCAGCGCCCCAAAAACCGCGAAGCGAGTCTTGACAGTCAGCTCCACGCATCATTCTCCGCCCCAGAGCGACCTGCCGCCGCCGAGCTGCCTGCCAACGCGAGTTTGCCCGCCAGAACGCGCGCTGGCACAGGCGCTGATGCAACCTAACCGCCGGGCTGGCTTGCCGCTCGGCCATCGGCGCAAGCTGCCGGCGCCCCGGCCGCGGGTCGTCTACCAACCGAGAAACCCACTCATTGAAAACGCCCAGGCGTATTACTACGACACCGAGACCCGCGAGTCGGAGTGGGGCGACCTCGGCGACGTCTTGTCACGACATGGATGGAAGGGGGCAGTCTCTGTCAACGACGAACGCCTCCAAGACGCCAGCCTAGGGCGAGGTCGCCATCTCCGCTGGCGAGATTTCTTTGCGCGGACAGATCCGCCCTCTATGACTGCACCACCCAGTGCAAACTGTGACCGCGCGCAAGGACCCCCCGGCACGACGGAGATGCAGCGCTTGGGCAACAAGCAGATGCTGGTCTACATCGAGGCCGACGCCCACGCATTTGCCCCATCTACCACGCGACCCGGAACCGAGCCGGCGCCGCCATCAGCTCCGGTTGGAGAATGAGGGTCGTCTCGGAGATCGAGACGGCGCAACCGCTTGCGACCGCTGCCTGCCAGCCGGCCCAACGACCAGCAGGCCGCGACTTCGGTTGGCAGCTACGCGCAGCTTGACGCAGCCTTCACCGACCGCAACGGGGCGCGCCGCCAATCCGAGAGCGTCGACCCGCGCACAAAGGAAGTCTTTGACGACGCGGCGCGACGCCAGCGCCAAGGCTGCGCCGAAGGGCTGGTCGCGCTACACAGCGCCACTGGTCACGCTTGCACCCGCCGCGGCGCCGCCCCGACATGGAGACTCAACGCCGCGCCACAACCAGCTGCTGCTATTTGGGGCTGGCCGGAGCCAGGCCCAATCCCCAGGAAGTGCCATCGAAGCCTCCTCCAGAGACCTGCGCCGCCAGCGCGCGACGGGCAGGAGGCGCGGGGCAGTAGCGGCGCGCCGCCCGTGCTGGTGCCCTGCAGGTCACCCCCCGCCGACGCCACCATCACAGCACAGGTATAACTACGAGCAGGCCATGCCCCCAAGGGCCTCTCGCCTGCATGAGATCAGGACCCTCCGGCGCAACCAACGAGATGCTATCGCGCGCCGGCCATGCGGCGCGACAAATCGCGATGGCCGACCAGCAGACCGCCCTGGCTCACTTCATCAACCGCCACCTGGCCGCGATGGTCGGCCGCGTTCGTCGACGACCGCGCGGGCCGGCCTGCGCCAAGAGCAGCCGCTCAAGGGTGGCGCGACATCCTCGCGCACGTCAGGCCGGGGGCGCGCACAACCCCGCTTCAGAGGCGGCTCCATCCGCGATCTCGCTCGGCGTCGCCAACGCGGCCGTCGACGGGGTCGACGAGCTGATCGAGGCCCAGGGGGCCCCCCCGCAAGCAACGTCGCCGGGCAACCTGCGACCCGCGGCGGAGACGACAGCGGGGGGGCCACCAGATGAGGGGGACGCGACGGACAATCGCCACGGGCACGGATAATTGGGCGCCGCGTAGCAGAGAGACATCGCCACAGAGTCCGCGCACTGTGGCCCGGCATCCTCAGGAAGCGTCGCAGGAGAGAGACCTGTCTCACGCCGCCGACGCTTTTCGCAGGGGCCAGTCCGACGTCTTCCCCCGACGACGGGTCGAGGAGAGGCGCGGCGATGACGCGCGGCGGATGCAGGCGCCAACCCGCATCGTGACCGCCGACTGCGGCTTTGGGGGCGACGGTTTGGATTGCGCGGCCGAGCAGGCCACCGACGCCGCCAAGGCCATGCGCGCCGGTCCAAACTTGACGCCGCCTCAACAGCCGCCAAGCAAAACCGCCAGCTCTGGCGGAGCAGGGCCACAATCGGCTCCGCGGCTGCACATCGCGCGCGCCTGCCAGCCCGCGCAACCAACCACCCTGGTGCATCGAGAGCCCCCCCCCTGATCACCCTTGACCTTTGCGGCGCGCACCTCGAGATTGGGGCGGCCGCGCGGCGGCCCATCGGCGTGCGCGTCGCCCACTTCCCGGGAGTCCAGTCTTGCTTCTCCACCGACCGCATGCAGTACCAGCGGCCGGCTGCCCCCTTCCACATCCATATCTCGACGCAGCTCGTTTGCCGCGTTTCCGCTTTCACCTGGCGCGCCGCGCCAGCGGCGGCAGCGGTTGGCCGCGGCGACTATTCTCTGCGACTCCCACCGCACCGCCCCCTGGCACCGGCATGTCCCCGCCGCTGCGAGCAGTTCCCAGGTCATCGCAGCGCAGCACGTGCAGCGAGCATTACTACAGCAGGCTATGCTATGCAGTGGGCCCACGGCTATGCAGGGCCCCACAGTCCGCCGTGGCATTCCAGCCCACGCGTGCTACTTAGCCGACGCGGGTCACCCGTGGACGCGCATTTTCCGATGTATATCTACAGGTTTGCGGCGACGCACAGCTGCAAACCCCGCTGCCGCATTCTCGCCAGCAAAGGTCAGTGCCACCGCCGATTGATGGACTCCTTTCACGCGCGCCCACGAGGAACACCTGAACCCCGCCGCCGCGGGGCCTCGGAGGCAGCGGCGCGAAGGAACCGCCGCCGCAATCGCCCAACCTCCCGCTCCCGACTGGCCGCCCACTTCTAGTCTTATGCTTCCGCGCCCTCTTCCCCCCAACTAACCTGTGCCTCCACCGCGCTTGCGGGGGGGGATGGGGCGGCGTATGTACGTGAGGGGGAGGGGCTGGCGGAGGGGCCCGCCGCTGGCCGTCCGGGCAAGGGCTGGAGCGGCTGCGGCACCAGTTGAAGCCTGTCGAAGTCGGCCCAGCTGCAACGGCACGCCGCCTCCCCGCGTTTGTTTGAATTCTACCAGCCGTTCCTCGCATCGCACATCATGTCCTTTCGTCGCCAGGACCACATTGTCCGTGCGGGCTGGAACTTAACCGCTGCCAGAGAAGAACTTACGAAAAGCATCAGGGTGACCCCAGACAATGTCGTCCGCGGCCTCAGTCGCGTGCAACAGTGCATGGGGCATCGCGAAAGCCAGGGGTGAACAAGCAAAGCCCCAGGGCACCGAGAGGCCTTTCTTGCCAGCGCCCAGCAGGGTTCACTCACCCTGCCCCACTGTCTCCCTCACCGCCAATCTCAGCAGTGCTGCATCAACGCAGTTCGGTACCAATTGGCCTCATCACCGCAAGGCACCACGTGCCGCGCTCCCTGCAGGGCTTGTCTCCCTCAGAGGTGTCGCATCAACGCAGCAATTCTTTGCCCCGCAGGGCGGTGTCATTTGCCGAGCCAGAGGAGGAGGTTGAGCCGATCGCTCGTCCACCCCCAAACAGTCTGTCATCTGAAGGCTCGGGGCTGGCGGCGCTAGTGCTGTCAAGTGGCGCTGTCATACCCCCCTTCCCTCCCCCCCAGGGGTTGTCGCCCCCAGGGGAACGGGGTGATGAAACGACTGTTATCACAGAGTGCAACAAGACACGCGTGGGACAACGGAGTTGGGTCCTACGAAACGGCGAGGACGATCCCTGCCTCTCCCTCCTCGCATATCCTCGCCCGGGATCGGTTGACCGATCCCCATCACCAGTGGGGATGGTACCTCAGCCCCCACAGGCGGGGATTGGTTCCGCGAAACTCGAAGGGAACAACATATACCCCCATGTAGGGGGGTAGATCGGCCATCGGGACCACTGCCGTGCCAGTGGGGATGCCGTTTTTCATCAGGGCCGCGCGAAATTCACGTTTGCTCGGTCGCTGTGCCGAGCTGGCTCGGCGAGCCTTGGAAGCTCGCACTGGCCCTCGCCGGTCTTTGGCCTCGTCGATGCCCACGAGAAGAGGAGGCGCAGGAGGAGGAGGACGAGGAGGAGGAGGAGGAGGAGCAGGAGGAGGATGAGCAGGAGGAGGAGGAGGAGGAGGAGGAGGAGGAGGAGGACAAGGAGGACAGGGAGTGGAGGAGGAGGAGGTAGGGGGAAGCAGGAGAAGGAGGAGGAGGAGGAGGAGGAGGAGGAGGAGGAGGAGGGAGGTATGGAGGGATGGGGGGAGCAGGAGGAGGAGCAGGGAGGGGGATAGCAGTGCCCCACCAGGTGCTGACGTGCCCCTGCTGCCTGGCGATATTCCGGCAGCCGGTGGCGCTGCCGTGCGGTCACACGTTGTGTCGTGGTTGCTACGCGCGGGTGGTATCGCAGGCCCTCGTTGCTGTCTGATTCCGCCTCCTCCTCCGCCTCTTCCTCCTCCTTCTCCTCCTCCTCCTCCTCCTCCTCTGCCTCCTCCTCCCCCTCCTCCTCATCCTCCTCCTTCTCCTCCTCCTCCTCCCACCCCCACCGCATGTGGATGGCAGGCAACTCCTCCTCCTCTTCCTCCTCCTCCTCCTCCTCCTCTTCCTCCTCCTCCTCCATTTTGCAGACCTCCCTCCGTGCAGTGGCAGCGTAAGGGAGGGACGGCTGAGAGGGGGTGACGCATCGGCCCCCCATCGCCCTTGCATCGCCGATGGGGGACTCACTAAGCCCACCCCGCCCGGGAACCTTCGCATTTGCAGTCGGGGGACGATCGCCGATCCGAGAAATCCGCGCGGACCCCCGAGCTTTTCTGTTTCTGTCACTTTTTGTTCCCCTAAGACTGAGGGGGGTGAACTCACTAAGCCCACCCCGCCCAGGAACCTTCGCATTTGCAGTCGGGGGACGATGGCCGATCTATCTGCGATGTACCGCCCGCTCCACCTCGATGCTCACCCCCCCTCAGTCTCAGGGGAACAAAAAGTAGCATGAACATAAAAACTCGGAGGTCCGCGCGGATTTCTCGGATCGGCGCTAGGCCTCCCGCCGGCGCCTCCGGCGCCGCCGCGCCTGGGACGGGGGTCCAGCGCCGATCCGAGGAATCCGCGCGGACCTCCGAGTTTTTATGTTTATGTCACTTCTTGTTCCCCTAAGTCTGTCCACCCCTTACGTCCGCCCCCATCACTCGAAGAAGAAGGCATTGCTTCACGACACGTTGCCCCGAAGGGCTCGACGACTCGTTTTCAATCGACTGTGAGGGGATCATAGTGAATACGTCGAGGTACATTTGTTCAATTCTGCGCAAGCCATTACCTATCGAGATGCATCCAGAAATATCCAGATAAGCTTGGAGAACACGTTGAAGCTCCAGCGCTACTCGAGGGACAGCAGAAGTCGTTAAGCCCTTACCGACCTTCCAGCCCCTCCTTCGACAAAGAAGATTCTGCATATGAGCCAAAACTGTTCGCAGCACCATGCAGATTTCGGGGGTCGGCGCTGGACACCCCCAGTGGTGCCTTCAGCGCCGCCCCTGGCGCGCACAGCCCGCCATTGAGTGGAGGTCCAGCGCCGACCCACGAGATCCGCGGAAGTCCAACACTTTATCTTGTCCAGGGCTCAGTTCGATCAATCCTCAGGAGGGGAAAAACACACACAGACACAATTAATCGTCGAGTCCCAGGAAAATATGGGAAAATATGGGAAGTGGGGGGGGAAAACGAAAATCTAGAAAATATTGGAAAATATGGGGGATCCTTTTATTTGTGTGTATTTATTTGTGTGTTCGATCCGATCAATCCGATCCGGCATCGATTCTGGCCGGCTCGACCCAATCCGATTCCGATAGCCATCCCGGCGATCCGATGCGGCCCGATGTTCGCAGAGCGTTGTTGCGTCGTATCTTTGCGCGGCCGATCCGAATCGATTTCGATTCCGTCCCGATGCGGGGCGATCCGACGCAAGTACCGATCCGATCGGACCCGATTTCTCCTCCCCACCCCCTCCTAGTTGTTGCTTCCTGCTTCTCCCTCCTCCATCTCTCCTCCCTTCATCCTTCTTCCGCCCCGCTTCCCTCCTTGCACATGTGTTGTGGCACTCCCCTGTCAAGGGTAGAAACCATCCGACCCCATGATTGGAGTTGACTTATCAGTCGTCGGCGTTTGTTTAGCAGTCTTTCCCTGCTCGATCCCTTCAACTTGTCCGTTTACTGAAGGGTTTCGCATGTATTGGTGTCGATGATGATAATGGTTCTTTGGTGGTGTCAGCTCTGACCAGGGATCCGAGGCGAAACCAGCCGTGACGATATGGGCCCCCAAGAAGGCCAGATGGACAGCATCAACCTTCCTCGCCGTCCTCCCCGTTCTCGTTCCCCCTTCCCCTTTGACCCCTCCCATTGCGGTGCGCCCTGGCCAGACGAGCAAAGCAGGCACCCCTACTCGTTGCTCTTCTCGTTGTGCTCCCCTTGCGCACGTGGCACCCTCGCACGCTGGTACCTCGCGACAGTCAGCATCTGCTGCCGCCGATCAGAGGGCAATTCTAGACGCTTCGCGTAACCCCACCAGCCAGCAAAGCCCATCGGCGGACAGCTCTGACTCCAGCCGCGAGGATGCCCCGACCTCGGCCGGGGAGGAAGCGCCCTACGCCGACCACAGTAGCGATCTAGCCCGGGGACCCGCGAGGGACGAGAGAGCCCGCGACCGAGGTGGCTCGCGGACCGAGCGCTCTCCCGCGCCCACCCCGAAGCTCCCTGGACAGAGGCACTATCACCCTCGCCATACTGGCACATCGGAGCAGGATGCACTCAACCAGTTGACCTGTCCGGAGGGGGGCGGCCCCATGTACAAAGTCTGGCTGGGCACGGTGGACCTCGAACGTCCCAACGAGACACCTGCCAGACGCACAGCCAGGCTTCAGTCGGAGTTGGGCGCAGTCTTCTGCGCGCTGTGGACAGCGCACACGCACCGACCCGAAATTGCACACGGCCACGTCCATCAATAAGTTTCTTGATGACTGGAAGGACTGCGGGTATGACGCCTACCAGATGAACACGAGGCTGGGCTACGGCATTGATTGGGACAGGCTACGAGCCAACTACCTGCGACACTCCCGTACCGACGACAGGGGCAAAGGCAGCTACCACCAGACCGGCTGGCGTGACCGCGCGACAAGCTCCTGGGACACCTGGGGCAGTTGGCACGGCGAGTGGAGTGATGGATGGCGCGAAGATCGCTGGCAGACGGGCGGCAAACGCAGCGGAGGCCGCCCCGACGACCGGGACGATAGAGACGAAAAGAGGCTCCGATGGAGGGACTGAGCTCACTCCCCGCTCCCAGCGCCTTGCGCCACCACGGCAACCTCACTACACACTGTGTGCGGCCCTCCGCCGCTTTCTTTCTCTCCAACTGCGGGGCAGCCCGACTGCCCCCCCCCCTGGACGGCACTCCTCCTACCTTTGGACCATGGTGTGCCGCTCAGTAATACCATCTGCACTTAGCGTGACAGTGCGCAGCCTGCAGACCCTAGCTGGCCCCTGGCCCCGCTGCCCTTCCTCTTATCTGTGGCCGCTGCATCCTAGCCGCAGGGCTCACGTTGTCCTCTCTGACTGTGTTTCACACCCTGGAATTCCCTCTGGCGCAGCCTTGAGCCGCGCTGCGGGCCCCAATTGCGGCGTTCTGCCGCCCTCCCCCCCGACGCGCGCACCTCCTGCCTTTGGATTCAGGTGTGCTCTTCGGTAACACCGCCCACAGCCACCCCAGCTAGTGGACCCGTGGCCTCTGGCCTTACTGTAGATCTTTCACCCGCCAGGCGCGACCTGGCCCGCGTCTGTGGACTCTGGCACCGCCTGTCCACAGACTCACTCTCTGGACGTCATAACCATTTAACGGCCTTCAGCCGTGACCCTGGAACGAAGTGGCTTTGAGGGACGCGTTATGGGTATACGACGGTCCCGTCCCTCGGGTGCTACCCGACACGTTTATGGGTAGCGCTGAGACACTTTGGATGTGCACTTTCGGCCCGTGATCCTACCGTGGCTTCGTGCACACTGCTGCGCCCTTACCACTCGCTGGATCAAGGGCCCGACGCATCTCAGTTGTGGAAGGTTCTTTGGCTACGTTGTTTCCACACCCTGGATGCGTGTTCTGACGTCGCGACGTTCTGATCCGCCGTCAGGTTTCCCCGCTGGACCGTGTCGCCAGTCAGTCTGTGCTACCCGTCAGACTCCCTGGATAGACGTCTTCGTGACCGTTCCTATTTGTTCGTATTCGAATTGTTGGGAGCGCCTTACGCGCCATTTTAGCTGCGCTCGGCTTCCTCGGTGCCTGTGCTCAGACTCCCTGGATGCGCCGTTGCATGTCTCGTTCTGGGGCTGCCCTGCAGAATCCCTGGATTGCACGCTTTGGCTCAGACGCCCTGGGTCGCTGCTGCCTGCCGCCTGACCGCGGCTCGCGCGCGCCCGCCGTTAGTCGCGGCCGCAGCCCGACCGCGACCGCCCGCCGCTGGTGCTTCCGCCTGCGGCTGTTTAAAAAAAAAGTAACCCCACCAGCCCATCCAGAAACGATGCCCAGAGGAAGTGCCTCGATCCTGGAATTGGGCAGCACACAAAGGAAGGGTACCCCAGTGGAGGCCGGCTGGAGCGTCTTAGGGGCCTCTTGGCGGTCCCGGACGCCTCTTAGAGCGTCGTGGGTGTTTTGGAGAGCTTCTTGGGGCCTCTTGGGGGTCTCTTGGGGGCCTCTTGGAGGCCTCTGGGGCGCTTGTTGGGGCCTCCTGGGGCCTCATGGGCGCTCTTGGGAGCCTTCAGAGCGCTCTTGGAGCCCTCTTGGGCCATCTTGGAGTCATCTTGAAGCCTCGGATGGCCATCGGAAGCGAAAAGGCGAGAAAGCCCAACATGCTGATTTTCCGAAGGTTTTGGAAGGATGTTGGCCTCTTCGGGACCTCCTGGGGGAGTTCTTTGGCCACTTGGAGCCGTCCTGAAGCGGTCTTGGGGCCTCTTGGAGCATCGTGGGAGCCATCTTGAGGCATCTTGGGATATCTTGAGCCATCTTGGAGGTCATCTTGGGCTCTCCCAGGCGCTCTTGGAGTCATCTGAAGCAGTGCCACCCCCCCAGGAGGCCCAAATGTGGCCAAAACCTTAGTAAAATCAGTGATTTTGGCATTCTCGCCGAGGCTTCTTGGAGCGTCTTGGGTGCCTCTGGGGGGTCTCTTGGGGCCTCGTGGGGGTCTCTTGGGAGCCTCTTGGGGGCATCCTGGGGGCCTCTTGGGGGCTTCTTGGGGCCACATGGGGCCATCTTGGGGCCATCTCGGGGCCTCTTGGGGCATCCTGGGGGCCTCTTGCGGCCATCGTGGAGGAAATCGGTGAAAGAAGAGGGGAGCTCTAATTAGCGCTGCCCCCTTCAGAAGGCCAAAATGGGGTCAAAACCATAGTAAAATCAATGATTTTGGCTTCCTCGCCGAGGCCGTTTTGGACGCTCTGACCGCTCCCTGCCCCTCCTGTCCAGGTCAGTGGGGAGGGGGTAGGGGGAGGGGTAAACCCCTCCCCGAAGGGGAAGAGGGAGGGGTGGAAGAGGAAACGCCCTAAACCACCGACGCCCAGAGGGCTGGTGGGACTTCGCACCATCACCGCCTGAATCCATCAGCGAGACAGCCTCGTCTCTCTCGCCGCGCCCTCCTCCTTCTTCTCCCCTGCTTCCTCCTCCTCCCCTTCCTTCCGTAGCCATTTTGGCTCAAAGAGAGCCTGGCTCGCGGGAGGGCCCACGCTCTGCGACGCGCTTTTTTTGCAGCGCGCTTGCTTGTGCGTATGAGGCCGCGTAGCCCGAAAACAGGGTCTGGGCTGCTGCTTCCGCGCGCACCCGGCGCGGCGGCTGCGGCGGCGCATGCGGCAGCAGCTGGGAACTTCTCGTGCTGAGGCCCTCTCCCAGCGCACGAAGGCTTTTCGCAGGTCCCCGGCAGCGCCGTGGGAGCCGTTGGATGCCTTGAGGTGGCATGCTGGCAAGTTGGGCGAGGCTGTCGCTGCCGCCCGTCTCTTGCGCACGCTCGCGGACTACATCAACGAGATGGACGACTTCTGGGTGCACGGCAAGGGGGCGCGTCATCGGGCGCCCCCTCACAGCTGCGGAACGTTGTTGTCTTCATCGCCGAAAGTCGCAATCTCTGCTGAGGTCTTGGATGCGTTCCGTGCTCGCCTCTTCGACCCTGCAGTTGTCCATGGAGTTCAGCATGATAGACCTGCTGATGCTCTGGTCGCCGAAGGCGCGGGCTGGCCATCTGGACCTGCGAGGTTACATGGTGGTCTCTCTGATGATCTCAATGGGGAGGTTGTTCCTTTCGAGCGTCTTCCTGATAAAAAAGGAGCTTTGCAGGAATGTGTTCGTGAATTGCTTCTTGGTGCCGATCGTGTGGAACCTGTTCTCCGTGGGCCTGCTCCCCACGGTGGTGCAGTTCTTCCTATGCACTTCGTTCTGCCTACAGTTCATAATGGAGGGCCTTACGACCTTCTTCGGGCTGATGGTCATGGTGCTCCCTGTCGAGGCCCTGGTGCAGTTCTTCGTGAAGGGGCTGCCGACCCTCTCCGCGGGAATGAATGTTTGGGCGACCTCATAGAAACCGTCGGCGCTGCTCCGCGTGCCGGAGCTCCTGATCAACTTGGCGGTGGTCAGATCTTCGACACCGGTCTCCCAGAGGAGCGGTTGAGGATCAGCTCTGAGCGTGCTACGCATTGCAGCTCTCAGCCATTTGTTCGGCGACGTCGGCGGCTCGACGGGGATCCTGTTCCTGATGTCCGCGTCAATCCGATTCGTGATCAACTCGGTATGCCTGCTGGTCCGCACCAGCGCGAGGCGGACCATCAAGTGCCGCCACCGTCGTCGGAAAGCTTATTTGGGATTCCTGAGGGGCGCTTGTTTTCCATCTTGGTTGTTTGCGCTACCTGCTGCTGCAAGCAGCTTGTGTCCCTGCGTGGTTTTCGGACCTCGGTTCTGTTCGGTCGGTCCCTCTGCTGCTTGAGTCTGCTCCGGCCCTCGCTGCGCTTCTGTTTCGGGCCCTCCTCGGCCCCCCTCGTCGCCGTGCGACCGCCTGGGAGTTTTTGTCGCTTGCTTCTGTCCCACGTCTCAAGCAAACCAAACACAAATCCTCCCCTTCCTCCCTCTCCCTCTCCCTCTCCTCCTCCTCCTCCGTTCCTTTTCCTTATAGATAATTTCTCCCTGTCGCACCCCGAAGCCAGTTTTTAGGACGGGCCGGGCGTTTCGCCAGAGACTTCCTCACCAATTATGACTCTGAAGCTTAAACGTTAGCAACGTTTTCACAGATGGAGGGCCAGTAGTTAAAAAAATGTGGCTCTCGCCTTATCGCGGCGCACATTCTTTTTAAACATATGCAATAATTTCACGGATTTAGGGCGGGTCGTTTGCAACATGTGATTCTCGCCTTATCGCGGCGCACATTCGTTTAAACACATTGCAAGAGTTCCACGGGGCGGTTCTTTTTTCGAAATGCGGCTCTCGCCTCAGCGCGGCGCACATGGTCTTTAAACATTTTCAAGAGCTTGATGGATTGAGGGCGCGTCTTTTTCAAAGTGTGGCTCTTGCTTTTGGCGCGGTGCACATTCGTTTTAAAAAGAAAGTGCAGGAGTTTCACGGGTTGAGGTCGTTTTTTTTCACAATGTGGTTCTCGCCTTAGCGCGGCGCACATTCGTTTCGTTGTAAACATGTGCAATAGTTTCACGGATCTAGGGCGGGTTGTTTTCAAAATGTGGTTCTCGCTTAAGCGCGGCGCACATTCGTTTCAAACAATTGCAAGAGTTTCACGGGTTCCCATCATCAACGTGCCAGAAATAGTGTTTCGAAAGGATTCAGGACCATATTGGTGCAACAGTTCGGTTGATCCGCTGTGGTGAAGTCCCAAGGATGGCGTTTTGGCATGCTCCAGGGTCTTCAAACGCTTCTCTTCCAAAGAGACAGTTTCTTCAATGGGAATGAACCGTTGTACGGGCCTATGAAGAGGGAGCCTGGAGGGAGGGTTTATTCCAACATCGTTGATGCCTCCCCTCCGCCTCCTCCTCCTCCTTCCCTGCTGCGTCGGTATCCCTTTTCCTCTCCTCCCCCTCCTCGCCTGCTTCATCCTTCTCCCCATCCTTCCCCTTTTCTTCTTCTTCTTCCTCCTCCTCCTCCTCCTCCTCCTCCACGTCCTCCCCCTCCTCGCCTGCTTCATCCTGCCCCCCCCCCTCCTACTGCACATCCGCTTGCCCCCTCCTTCCCCCTTGGGGGGGCTCGTGCCGTGTGCCACGGCCTCCTTTCCCTCCAAGCTGGAAGGATCGCACTGCCCTGCTGTCCCTCCCCCCCCCGCCTTCCCTCCTTCCCCTCCTCCATCCTGCGCCCCCCCTCTCCAGCTCTGCGTGACTCCTTCCCCTCTCCCTCGTCCCTTTTTCCCTCCTCCCCTCCTCCTTCTCCTCCTCCTTCCAGGGCCCGTGCATGTCTCAACATTGTGGCTGAAGACGAACTCTGGTAGACAGGCTAAGTCAAGGGGCCCCCTCCCGCCCCTTTCAACCCATCTCCACTTTCCGCATGAGAATGGAGTCACCCCCCGAGCAGTTAAGAAGTTAGTTGTATCCTCATCCCCATACTTCATCCAGCACTACAGGGCCTAGTCCGATCTGCTCGATTCGATTAGATTCTGAATTTATTGCGATCCGATGCGACCCGATGTTGGCATGGCGCTCTTGTGCATCCTGGCGCGGTCGATCCGATCCGATTCCGGCATCGTACCGATGCAAGACATTCCGACGCAATTTTTGGTGCTATTCGATGTCCGATTCGATGTTGACTGACTGCCCCCGTCCATCATCCTTCTCTTCTTCCCATCCACCCTCTTCCGGCTGCACCGCGGAAGCGGCACAGCGTTCAGCAGCAACCCCGCGGTCACCAGGCCCGTTAGGTGACGGTGAGCCCAACGGAGGGGACAACGAAAATCACCCCTCCCCTCCCCCGCCCTCCCCCCCCGCCCCCCCTCTCCCTCCTCTCTCCCCCCCTTGTCCCCGAAACCCGACGTTGCGAGGCAACCATTGCTGGAGCCCCCATAGAGCCACTTCTCCCGCGGCACTCTTCGAGCCGGATCGACCTGTGAGGGCCCATGGGGCCCGAGGCTGGGCGAGGACGCCCGGTGCGAAAAATGGCAGCGCCCCTCCCCCCCCGCCAGCCGGCGCTCCCCTCTCCCCCCCCCGGGCGGCGCTCCCCCCCCTCCCCCCTCCGCCGCCCCCCCCCCCCCAACCTCCCCCCCGGCGGCCTCCCTCCCACGCGGCGCTCCGGCGCTCCCCCCCCCCCCTCCCTGCCCCCCGTGCCCCCCTCCCTCGGGTATAGCCAGGAGACCCCGGGTGAGGGGACCCGGTCAGTGGTAGAGGGCCCTGGGGCCCCTCAGTTGGCCAGATTCCCTAAACCAGGTTTGCCGTAGCTGGTGTTTTTCGGGTGACGGCCGTTCCGGCTCGTGGAGATGGGGCGGGGGGGCGCCCCCGGTACAGATCACTAAACCAGGTTCCACTAAACCCAGTTCTGCCAACGCCCGACAGGGCCCGAGGCCCGAGACCGGGCGAGGACTCCAGGTGCGAAAAATTGCAGCGCCCCTACCTCGGTTTCCCCCGCCCCCCCTTCCTTCCTCTCTCCCCCTCCCCCAGCGCCAGCGCTCCCCCTCCCCCCCCCCCCGGGCGGCGCTCCCCCCCCAGGCGGCGCTCCCCCTACTCCCTCCTCCTCCCTCCCGCCCCCCCCCCCTCCCCCCCGGCGCCCCCCTCCCTCCCTCCCAGGCGGCGCCCCCCGCCCCCCTCCCTGCCCTCCGTGCCCCCCTCCCCCCCCGCAGGCGGCGCCCCACGCCCGGCGCTGCCCGATGTGCAGGGCCGACCTGCCCCGCTGCGACGTGCGCGTGAACCTCGCCCTGGCGGCGGTGTGCGACTCGCTCCGCGCCTCGAGCGCCCGGTCGAGGCCGGTGGCGCCGGGCGCCTCCCCCTCCTCGCCTCGGGCCGGGCCAGGAGGATGAGGAGGAGGAGGAGGAGGAGGAGGAGGAGGAGGAGGAGAAGGAGGAGGAGGAGGAGGAGGAGGAGACGAGGAGGAGCAGGAGGAGGAGGAGGCAGAGAGGAGGAGCGGAGGAGGGAGGAGGAGAGGAGGAGGAGGAGAAAGGAGGAGGAGGAAAGGAGGAGGAGGAGGAGGAGGAGGAGGAGGAGGAGGAGGAGGAGGAGGAACGGAGGAGGAGGAGGAGGCAGGGAGGAGGAGGAAGGGAAGGATGGGTAAAAGAAACGAGGGGAATGATGATGATGAGGAGGAGGAGCAGGAGGAAAAAGATGACGAATAATAATACGATGATTTATGCTCATACGACTATTACTACGAATCATCGTATTGCTAATGATGATGACAATCTTAAAACCTTGGACAATAATACTAACACTATTATTAACACTAGCATTGATAAGAAGGAAACGTACAAACAAATGATTAATCCTAAGAGTACCTCGCGGGTCGAGGGGCCGTGTTCATGTACAAAGCTGGGTGCGTACGTTCTTGTTTTGTCACATCGGGCTTCTGTTCTAAGGACCATGTTTTTGCTATGAGAACATTTGGGGGTTCTAAGAAGATTTCGTGGTAGGACTATAGGAATGCCGGGACGGTCGGTCCGTGCTCGAAAGCTGTGTTCTGGACGCCCGAAATGGGTACGGAAAGAATGGGTACTATGCCCAACAGCAGTTCCTGTTCAGTTTGAACAGGGCTCGATGTCCACGCCGCCGCGGCCTGTGTCCATTCGAGACAGGAGGCCGCCTGACCAACAGCGGCCGCTGTTGGTTTGGGACAACATTTGCTGTTGGGCACAGTACCCATTTTTTCGGTACCCATTTCGGGTGTCCAAATGTGTGGTGGAAGGTTTGTGGTGCAGGCGCAGCGTAGGGAGCGCCCACGACCGCCCACGAGGCGGCACGTGCGGCAGCGTGGCGCGGCCTCGGCGGACCCACCCAGCGCCCTCGAGGCGGCGCGGGCGGCAGCCAGCCTCGGCGGACTCCTCCTCCTCCTCCTGCTCCTCCTCCTGCTCCTCCTCCTCCTCGTCGTCGTCGTCCTCCTCGTCGTCGTCCTCCCACCTCCGGGCTGCGCGGCGGCGGCGAGCGGGGTCTCCCTGGCGGTGCGGGGTGTGCCCGGGCGTCCGTGCGTGCGGTTATGATGTTCCAACCGACTTTCGCCTTGAGCAACAGAAAGAGTTTCGAGCACCCAAGAAAATACCGAAATTTGAGGGTTTGCACGTGTCGGGCCCTGGGAGACACTCGCCCGACACTGTTTCGACACTCGTTTCGACACTCGTTTGACACTTTTCCGGGTGCGCGAAATTATGTTGGGGATGTGGTCCTTAAGTAGGATGGGAGGAACATGAGCGTAATGGGCACCCACGATGCAGCACGGGCGGCAACGCGGCGCAAGTTCGGCGGGCCCACGGGAAGGCCAGTGCTGGCGGCGGCTCTGGCGAACACAATGGCGATGATGATGTCTATGTGTCGGTGGTATGGGTGGTTGGCTGCGGCATTGGCGGCGATTGAAGATATATGTAATGGCGGTGATGCGATGGCGTTGATGAGGGTGATGGTGTTGATGAGGCTGATGAGGCTGACGCAATGGCGCTGATGACGGCCGATGAGGCTGCGATGGCGCTGATGAAGTGCGCGCGTGATCAGGGATTCAAGAAAATTCCGAAAAGACTCGAGAGGAGGTGAGAGCACGACGGCACAATGCGTAAGCTGCATCCAGTTGTTTCCTATCCCCGTGATGCGCGTTACAGGGCAAGCTTGTGGCGGCGCGCGCATGTGCCCCGCTTCTGGAGGGTTTCTCCGGAGGGCTTAGGCGACCCGTCCTCCTCCTCCACCTCCTCCTCCTCCTCCCTCCTCCTCCTCCTCCTCCTCCTCCATCTCCTCCCCCCCCCCTGCTCCTCCTCCTCCCCCTTTTCCTCCTCCTCCTTTTCTGTCCTCCTCCTCCTCCGCCTCCTCGGGTCGCCCACGGCCCCTGGGGAAACCGTGCACCCGCTTGATTTCATGTGATACGGATTCGTGCCAGGGGCGCAGGCTAGATCAACGCGGGTGCACCGCGTGGTGGGATGCACATTCCTATTCGGGGCGAGATTGCTGGGATCATGTGTTTCCCATGATGTCAGCAAGTGCGCGCCAGCAGAGCAGCTGCAATAATGTGATGCGACGCATCTGCTTCTTTCTTTTTGCATGTGTTGTGCAGAAGCGTTGCATCATGGTGGTGTTGCGTATGGCTTCGACATGTGCGCGCGTACGGACTTGGTTGACTTGCTTGAAAGGAAAGGTATTATTGCAACACGATGTTTTAAATCAGCGGATGCGCGCGTCTGGCATGCTTTGTCAAGGATGGACTGAGCGAACCGATATCAGCCTGGCTGGGATGGTATGATTTGTTGTTTTGAACGACCGTGCCAAACAGCTATGAACATGTAGCATGCAGAGAGGTACCGATGAACCCGGGTTCGAGAGGTGCGTGTGCGCTACGTGATGTGAATTCAGCCCACGAGGCGGCACGTGCGGCATCGTGGCGCGACACCAGCGGACCTCCCCCCCCGCGCACTTGGCGACCACGACGCGACATCGGGCGGCAACTTGGAATATCTTCGGCGGGCCAGTCCAACTATTCGAGCAATGCAGGGCAGAACCTCTATGTGTTAGCAGTGTTCTGGAGTGCTTCAAATGCATGTGTAATTGTATCAGCACAGTGTACACTCACATATATAACTATGTGTATATGCATATATGTCGTATTCGCGTGTCTGTAATTGTATATATCTATATATATATATATATATATGTGTGATTGTGTGTGTGAGTGTGTTCGGAGCTTCGCGCGGATATATCGTGTCGACGATGGGCCTTGACGCGCGGAGCCCGCCAGGGAGCGCAGTTCAGTTTCCGAACGTATATGGCTACGTATGCCAGATGATATCGTTCTAGAAGGGGCCGCTAGATCGGAGGATGATGGCGAGGAGGAGGAGGAGGATCAATGCGGCGGTGAGGGGAGGAGGCGGGTCGAAGAGAGGGCGAACGAGGGCGTAAGAGGAGGAGAAGGGGAACGGGGGCGAGCTGGGCGAGAAGGAGCGAGGTTGTGCAGGAGCCAAGGGCCCGCGGCGAGCGACTTCCGGGCCGAGCTCCAGAGACGAAGGGGTGGTTCCGTCGTCCGGCCGTCTTCTCCGACGATGTGCTGTGGGCCCTTTCCCGTTCTGCCGGCCAGGCGTTGAGCTGAGCCATGCCCTGGGATCATTCAGGAACGAAAGAAGGACGTACACGTACATGAATCCACGCTGGTCTCGAGAGCACGCATGGCGCAAATGTTCGTACAACGCGGCCGGTCTCGCGGGTCGAGGGGCCGTGTTCATGTACATAGCCGGGCGCGTACGTCCTTTGTGGGCTCCCTGGGGTCAGCAGGGGGCTCGGCGTCCGGGCGGCTCCTCTGCGCTCCGGGGCCGGGGAGCCTGCTCGTGGCCGGGGCTCGCCGAGGCCAGGAACGCCCTGTCGTCCCGCAGGCGGCGTTCCCGTCGCAGCAGAGTGGCTGTGCTCCCCCCCCCCCTCTCCAACCCCCTCCCCCTCCCCCTCCCCCTCCTCCTCCCCTCCCCTCCCCCCCTCCCCTCCTCCTCCTCTCCTCCTCCTCCTCCTCCTCCTCCTCCTCCTTCTCCTCCTCCTCCTCCTCCTCCTCCTCCTCCTCCTCCTCCTCCTCCTGCCTCCTCCCCCCCTCGCGCCCACGCCCGTCTGCGCCAGCGATGGCGGCAGAGCGACGAGGCCGAGGGCGGGAGCGGGCTGCTGCGGTGAGCGTCGGTCGCTGCTGGAGGCATGCATGCTGTTGGGCCCTCCCAGGGGCCCGGCCACTTGTAGGCGCCTTCTGAATGTCAGTGTCGAGCAGCTGCTCATTTTCCCTTCGGCAGAACCCACACCTGTGTTCAACGGCCTCGCATGTACTTCAGTTGTCGACCCACTTCTGCCGACCGAGGGGTATCCTTCGTTTTCTGTTTTTTGTTTCTCTCTCTATCTCTCTATTTCTGACATTGGCTCCCCTCTCTCTGTCTCTCTCTCTTTCTCCCTATCTCTCCCTCTCCATGTGTGTGTGTCTCTCTATCGCTCTCTCTCTCTCTCCCTCTCTCTTTCTCTCTCTCTCTCTCTTGTTTTGTCTCTCTCTCTCTCTCTCTTTCTCTCTCTCTCACACCCTCTCTCCCGTTCGGAGAAGGAGGAGTAGAAAGAGGAGGTGGAGCAGCAGCAGGAGGAGGAAGAAGGGAGGGCGGAGGAAGGAAGATACTGAGGATGAGGAGGAGGAGGCATGGGTCAGGATGAGGAGGAATGGGTAAATATGACGACCAGAAAGGAGGCAGAATGAGGAACATGAGTGTCTTGCAGGGCACCCTACTGTAAACTAACATATTTGGCTCGGGGTCCACGTGCTGGCATCATGTACATGGATGGTCGCAGAACGTCATATCCTATCCATTGCCAACGTGTTGGTGGGAGCGGGCAATGTTTCGACGTGCGGCAGGTTTTGCGGTAAAGAGACTAACATGTCCCGTGCCATGCAGTTTTGCAACAATTCGAGCGAGAGGGTGGGGTGAACGGGAAGGGGGAGGAGGAGTACAGTGCCGTTGTTAATACATGTTCCGCGTGCGGATCATGTATTTTAGATGCAGGGAATTAGTATCCAGAACAACGATGAGTTCATGCATACATTTATTCATAAATTAAGCATGTATTAAAAAATCCCGTATGTTTTGAACATCCTATGTACTACAAACTGCCCTGTTGGAGGGGGAGAGGGGGGCGGGGAGAGCGGAGCGGGCGGACGTGCTCCCGACGCGCCGGGCCCCCAGGTCCGGCCCGCCGCGCAGCGCGGCGACGGCGGGGGCCGCCTGAGCAGGCCAGTGCCCCGCTGCAGCCGTCGCCGCCACTCAGGAAGTGCTCGCCTCCATGAGGCGCTTGTCCCCCTGGGTTTTCCCTGCGGGGCTCTTCTGGCCAGCACTCGTGCCTGGCCTTCCTTCCCTGACGGCATCCTCCTGCGCAGGCGCGTCTCGGGAGCGTGCTCGATCCTCTCAACCATGTGGCTCGTGGTTGCCAGGGCCAAACTGTTCAACGCGTACGGAGCAAAGGCATTGATTACACCGCGCACCCCGCATGGGTCAATAACGCGCCATTTCTCATCTCCGCCGTGCCCTCGCTACTCCCTTCCCATTTTCCCACTGTTCCCCTCCTGCCCCCACCACCCAGTTTCAAGTTCGATCCGATCCATCCGATTCGATGTCAATTCTGTCTGGCTCGATCCTGTGCGATCCCGGTGTTCGACGATACGATGTTCGCATGGCGTTGTCATGTATCTTGGCGCGGCCGATCCGATTCGAATCGATCCCGACTACATGCCCACGCGGCCCGATCCGACGCATGTTGCGATCCGATCCGAACCCCCGACTAGACGCTTACTGATCTTGTCTCGGCGATGGACCCAGCCCGTGCAGTGGAGCCTCCAAACTGCTGTTCCATGGGGTTGATTCCTCACCCAATACCGTCTCCTCATGCCGAGAGCGCGCTGCGTATGCTCGGCAAGTCTGCATCACCCTCATCCTCCTCCATGGGGGAACAAGATACGGATACCGCCACTCCCCAGACCTCTCCCAGGGTGCGCGCGGGCCAGGATTTCGAGGCGCATACAGCCGTACCGACCAGGAGTGGGTACCGTAGCAGTATGCATATATGTGTCTCTCCTCTGAATCCAGGGCCCATTTAGATCCGATCGAATCGATTCGATATCGGTTTCGGCCGCCACTCGCTCGGAAGGTCCCGTCCCCGGTTCAGTTTTAGGGAGGTTGGCCAGGGACAGCATTGGGATTATTTAATCGCTTCGCTCATTCCGCCGGCCCATACAGTCTCATGTCTGCCGTTTGCCCGAGGGCCTGGTGTCAATGCGGCGCTTTGGGGGTTCCTGGGGCCGCTTGGGGGACTCCTGGGGCGCTCGGGGGGGCATTTGGGGGGCCTCCTGGGGCCGCTTGGGGGACTCTTGGGGGCCTCCTGAGGGCCCCGTGGGGGCCTCTTGGGGCCTCTTAGGGGCCTCGTAGGGGCTTCTTAGGGCCGAGGGCTCGAAATGTTGTTTCGTGTTCCCTCTCTGGGGCCCCTTTGGGGGCGTTCTTGGGGCCCTCTTGGACCGTTTTGGAGGCTTCTTGGGCCGTCTTCGAGCCCTCTTGGGCCATCTTGGGGCCCTCTTGGGTGCCTCTTGGGCCCTCTTGGGGCGATCTTGGGGGCCTCTTGGGCCGTCTTGGGGCGTCGGGAAGCCGAAAAGGTGGAAGCTCCAAAATCTCTCAAAAACCTATGGAAAAACAATGATTTTTGCCTCCGGGGGCCCTATTGGGAGTGCTCTTGGAGGCCTCTTGGGGCGTCTGGGGGCTATCTTGGGCGTCTTGGAGCGATCTTGTGGCATGTCGGACCCCTCGTGTACCATCTTGGGGGCCTCTTGGGGGCCTCTTGGCCTTTCTTGGGGCTCTCGGGGACGTCTCGGAGCCCTGTTGGTGCGCTCATGGAGCGCTCGGGGGGACCCGGCCGGGACCCGGCCGGGACCCGGCCGGGACCCGGCCGGGGACCGGCCGGGACCTGGTCGGGGTACTTTTCGTCCGGGGACCCCCAGGGGCCGCCCCGCGCGCGCGAACTAGAAAATTGTTAACCAGTTACCGGAGATCTTAGCACGCCTCTGGCCCGTTGGGCCGGCGAATTTTCTTTCCAGAGCCTTCCTGACTGCTCTTAGAGTTCTGGAGAGGTCTCGGAGAGCCGCGGCGCCTGGTACATCATCCAGAGCCGCAGGATCTCAGAGATCCCCGACTTGTCATGGTCCGATCTTGTCCCGGTCCTGGCCTCGTGTCAGGGAGTCGCGCAGCTTCGCCGGGGGGTCTGTGGGAGCACCTCCGCGGCGCGGCCTCGGGAGGGCGGGAACCGCGCTCTGGCGCGGCCTCCTCCCGGCACCCGGGTACAGCCAGCACGGGCCGGGTGTTGCCAGAATTGCCCTTGGCCAGAGGGTGCCTCCAGGGCTTCCACGGGGGCCCGCGCGGCCCCCAGGGGCTCCAGAGCGGAGCGAGAAGCTGGGGGGCAGCATGGGCCACTTTGGAGTGACCCCCGAAATTGGGGTCGAGAGCCACGCCAGCTCGAAGAAGAAGAAGAAGAAGAAGAACAACAAACATGCGTAAGCATTAACTTCCGGAGCTCCGCGCGGACTTTTTGGGCTCGGCGCTGGGCCGCCCCTGGCGGCGCCTGCAGCAGCACCGCCTCCGGCGCGCTCCGCGCGCCAGGAAGGGGGTCCAGCGCCGGCCCAAGAGCATTCCGCGCGGAGCTCCGAAGATGCAGGGCCGGAGGTGGACAGAACCCCCAACAGTGACACGTCGATTAGTGAATTGTCCGTTTTCGGTTCTCGAGAGGGCGCCGTGGCCGTTATTTTCCAGGCTCGCGCCCGCCAGGTTTGGGCCTCAGGTCGTTTTCACTAAACCACGTTTTGCTAAAGGGGGGTCTGTCCATCCCCGAATGCAGGGCCGTGCAGTTTTTGTTCCTCCACTGGCCTCGTGGCGACGCGGCGGAGGTCCCAGCGCGAGGGCTCGAGGTGGCGCGCACGGTGGACCGATGCATGCCGCTTGGCGTCGCTCGGGCGTGTGCACTTTTCTCTCGGCGAGGAGCATCGAGGACCATCCTGGACCGTCGAGCAACAAAAACAGACGCGCGAAGCCGACAAACGCACGGGAAATGGACGTCCGAGCGACGGCAAGTGCATGCCGACGCCGACGCCATCGCGACGGGAGCCCGCCGTATAGCCGGCACGAGGGCCAGCGGACAGCCCTGGCTCCGCACCTCGCAGCTCCAGGGGGCCCTGAGCCTTCGGCGACGGGCCTCATGGGCTCGGCCCTCGCTCTTACTCGAGGAAGCGTAAGACTCGAGTAAGCCAGAACTCGGTTTGCCGACGTTTTTTGACGAGCGCGTTCTGGATTTTGACGGTCCGGATTTCGTGGGATGTTTGCAGCGGGAGCTCGCGTCAAATTCCAGATAAGGGTTCATGATGGCCCCGTCAGGCCAAGTCTTATGTCTCCCCGTTTTATGGCTATGGAAGTCCATTAATGGAGAGGAAGCATGCTGCCAAATGATTTCCAGATGTCCAAAACATATTTCAAGCATAAAACATAGTTCAAACATGTTGTACATATGTTAAAAACATGGTTGAAACGTTTTCAGAACATGTTTTACACAGGTTAAACGCATCTTTAAGTCAATGATCGGATTGTTAGAGTATCCATTGTCATGGCATCCACAATCTTTCGGCCACACTTCGGCCGTAGACTTGCCGCAGGGAGAGCGCCCTGGCAGACAGCGGCAGCCGCGTTGCGTAATGTTGCCAGCCGTCTGCCGGGGAGGGAGGCTCGGCCCCGGGTCGGGAAAATGTGAGACTCGAGTAAGCTGGAACTCGGAGTTCCCCGACGCTTTTTTGCGAGCGCGTCCTGGCTTTTGACGGTTCAGTTCTCGTGGGATATGTTCGCAGTGGGAGCTCGCGTCAAATTTCAGATTATCGGATCTCGTCGTTTTCATGATGGCGCCGCCAGGCCAACCCGAGTCCCCCGCACCCAAATCTTGCGTCTCCCCGACCGGAGGGCCGAGGGTTTCGGTGCGACCAAAATGAGTACGGAGAGAATGGGGACGAAGACCAACAGCAGTTCCTGCCTATTTTGAGTTGGCGGTGTTGCCGCAGAGGTTGTCCGCTTGATTCAAACAAAGTAGCCTGCCCAACAGCGGCCGCAGTCGGCTTTCGATAACGGTTGCTTTTATTGGAAAGGGTACCCACCTTGTCAGAACCAATTTCGGGTGTCACCGAAGGCTCCAGCGGCGGTGTCCGCATACGTTTTCCCCGCCCACCACAGCGATTCGTGGCCCCACAGGGAGCTCTACCGAAGACCTCAGCGACGGTGTTCGCATGCATCGCCCCCCACCCAGAACGACTCTTCGTGGCCCTATAGGAAGCTCCATCGAAGGCCCCACTGGCGGTGTTCGCATGCCTCTCCCCCACTCAGTACAGCGCTTCGTGGCCCCATAGGGAGCTCCACCGGAGGCTCCAGTGGCGACGTTCGCACGGTGAGCGTTGCTTCCGAGGAAGAGAAAAAAGAGGGGGGGGGCTTATGGCAGGGGAGGTCCAAATGGGGGGGGGGGGTAGGTAAGCCCCCCCCCCACACACTTTGGGAAAGGGAGGAGCGGGGAGAGCTTTCGGAGCGCCAAAAAGGGGGGGGGTAGCTTCGAGGGGCGAGAAAAAAGGAGGGAGGGAGGGGGCTTCGGCAGGGGAGGTCCAAGGGGGGGGGGGGTAGCTAAGCACCCCCTCCTTTGGAAAGGGAGGGGGGTGGGGCTTACGGCAAGGGAGGTCCAAGGGGGGGGGGGTAGGTAAGGGGGTACCCCCCCACCCTTTTGGGGTGCGCCACGGGCGCGCTCTCTCAGACCTTTGGAAGAATCCCATCTCTTTTCCCCTCTCCTCCCTCTCACTACTGGCCTGTTGCCGCATCGTGACTGGCTATAAGATTAGCCATCGCTCGCAAGACAGCCATTCTACGTGGCTTGACGCTTCAATTCCGCTCCTGGGCACGGCTTTTCAGGCAGCGTAGTGGCTTCACGATTGTGTTGCCTGACTTGTCATCGTGTTGCTGTGTCCGCTCCCATTCTTCCCCTCCAAAGTGCGCTGAAATGAAAAAACGCGCAGCCCAATATACCGATTTCCTTTGAGCTGCTAGCGAACACGCGTAAAATCTCCTGGCGCAGTAGTATTAGCCTTTGTGTTTTCGTCCCGCCGAGGAGAGACGTGTGTGCATCCTCCTGGGCTTCGGACAGCGCCAGCAGCTTAGATTGCTGGAGCTGATTTGACTGTCTAGCGCCGCTGCACCGTCTGAAAAAGATCCTCGGGGGTGCTGGGGCGCAATCGGTCGGAGCGACTTACACAGCATGCAGCCCTGCCTCCCCCCCTCCGTGAAACAAAGGCAGTACCCATGTGTCGATCCATGGAGACCCGCTTTTGTTGACGCCGCACCACGCGCATCCCCGGCCCTTCGGATGGGGGCGCAGCACGGGCTCGGTGGAACCATCTTGGGGGCCGTCCATGGAGGCGGCCCTGCAGGCGCTGAAAGAAGGACCGCTTCGGGCTCAGGGTGGTCCCTGGTGTTCGGGCCGCTCTTGGATATTTACAGCCGTTGCTCGCCGTGGCCGGAGAAGCCCCCTGACTCATCAGGCGTGGACAGACCTCCTGCCCTGACACGTCGATTAGCGAATTGGCCGTTTTCGGTTCGCGAGAGGGCGTCGCGGCCGTCATTTTTACAAAAGGGAGGTTTGTCCACCGCCGAACTCAGCTCTTCTCTGCGCTGGCACGATGGCTGTAGCTCGACGCAGACGCAACATCGCTTCGGAAGCCGTGACGCCTGATCCTCCAGAACGTATCACGGTCTTGACAGATGCGGCCTTTCCCAGCCTCCACCTCAGGCTCACTCAGGCCCCGCGCCCGAAGCGGGCCCTCCACAAGCGAAGCCCGTCTTCCGTACAGTCAGAGCGCATGGTGAGGATGCGTAGCATTTCCTAGAGCGACCCAGATCTCCAACAACATGACTTTTACAATCCCGACACGTTTCCTCGATCCCGCCCTCTGGGGCCCGCTAGCCAGCCCCAGGACCATCAAATATGGACCAGGGGCGCAACATTACTCCTGGGAAGAGGTCGGGACCTCTGGGGCCGCGCATTGAAAATCTGACATCCTCGGATGTCCGGTAATGTCGGACGACGGCCGGGAAATGTTGTGGGGTGGCCCGTTACGCAGCATCGCCCGAGGCGATGTTCAGCACAGAGTGTTCCAGGCCTGCTCGTGAGCGTCGCCGCCGTTGAGATGATTTGCTCGCCATCTTCAAAGTCTTCCCAAGCGGCGGACAATTTCTGCTCTCATTCCCCACAAGGCTGTGGTGCTGGGTCTTTGACTCCGCAGGTCCCCGCTCCACCTCACGCCTTCCCCCTGCCTCCTTGCGCCTCTTCGGCACGCCCCTCACACATGTCGTGGCCCTGCTGTCAGCTCCACCGAAGGCCCCAGTGGGCGCGGGCGCACGGCGCCACCGCCTCCTTTCCGCACATCGTTCACTCGTGTCGCGGCCCCATGAGCTCCACCGAGGGCCCCAGCGGGCGCGGGCGCACGGCGCCGCCGCTTCACTTCCGCACATCGCCTGCGCTTGGCGTGGCCCCGTGAGCTCAACAGGAGGCCCCCGGCATCCGCACCGACTCGGGCTCCGTCTCCCTCGCGGCGCGCTGCTGTGTGGTGGGTCCTCGTTTTGAATCTGCGGCGCCCCCCGCGTCTCCTCCTTCCCTATCCCCTCCTTGCCTCTGCTCTCCACACACACACGCACACGCACCTCCCCCCGTCTTGCATCTGTCTCCCGCACGTCCACTTCGCCTCCCTCCCCCCCCCCCCCCCACACACACACACACAACACAACACACACACACAACACACAACACACGCACACACACAACACACACAACACGCACACACGCACGAACACGCACGCACGCACGCACGCACGCACGCACGCACGCACGCACGCACGCACGCACGCACGCACACACACACTACACACACACACACACACACACGCACACACACACACACACACACACACACACACGCACACACACACACACACGCACACACACACGCACACGCACACGCACACGCACACGCACACGCACACCACCCACGCACACGCACACGCACACGCACACGCCCACGCACACGCACACGCACACGCACACGCACACGCACACGCACACGCACACGCACGCACACGCGCACACGCACACGCGCACACGCACGCGCACGCGCACGCGCACGCGCACGCGCACGCGCACGCGCACGCGCACGCGCACGCGCACGCGCACGCGCACGCGCACGCGCACGCGCGCACGCACGCACGCACACGCGCACACATACACACACACACACACACACACTAACACATACACACACACACGCACACGCGGACACGCGCTTCGTGGCCCCATACGGAGCTCCACCTGCGACCCCAGTGGGCATGTCCGCATGCTGGGCGAGGCCATGTCGGCACACCACTCACACGTTTCGTAGCCTCACGGGAGGCTCCGCCGAAGGCCGCACGCTGAGCGGCTCCGTGTCGGCTCACCCCCACACGCTTCGCGACCCCAGTGGCAAGGCTTCCAGAGCCTCACCGACGACGACGATGTCGATGCTGCCATCCTGCCCCGAGCTACATCCTTCCCGCCTCGCGCTGCCTTATGACGAGAGGGCCGCGCCTCGCGTTACAGTCGACCCGCATAGTAAGCATGAGCAGCTTTCCCAAGGGTTCCCTTTCATCCCTCCCCGAAGGGGGAGAGGGGGGTTAGAAGAGGAGCCTCCCTAGACCACCTACGCCCCAGCAGGCTGCTGGCATTCTGCGCGTGCACCAGGTAAGCAAGTACAGTGAACAGTACTGGCCAGGGAAAGTGTGCACAACGAGACAGCAAAGAAGGGAGAGAGGGAAGGAGAAGCTTGCGCGGGCGCTGGCTCGGGTATGTGGTGGCGGAAGTTCGGCGGCGAAATCCGAACCCTACCCTCGCCGATCAACGATTCAGGCAATTCGATGGGCGTTGGGGGTAGGGCTCGGAATTCGCCGAACACGTGGCGAAATCCGAACATTACCGCCGCCTCCCATCGATTCAGGAGAATCGATGGTTGGCTGGGCTAGGGTTCGGATGTCGCCACCTAGAGTCAGCCACGCGCAGAGGGGGGTAGGGGGAGGGGGGAAGCCTTCTTGGAAGCACCCCTGCTTCTTAGAAGGCGCGGGCCTTGTCTGTAGATGAGAGGCCGGCGCCATCTGAGAAGCAGCCTCCTCCTGAGAAGCCTCCCCCCTCCCCATACCCCCCTCTGCGCGCCGCCAATAGAGGTGTACCCATCGGTCGTTGAAAGTAGGTATTTACCTAACAGCTCTTGCTGATAGGTTTCTAGTGGTATCAAAAGAGAGCATCATGACTCCTCAGGGGGGTCTGGGCGGGACCCGGACAGGCTGCCGCCGCGGCTGCCGCCGCACTCGTTTTTCGCAAACAGTCACACACTTCGTGCTCTTCGACCTCCCAGAACTCCATTCCCGGGCCACATTTGAATGCCCGGAGCCAACTGTAGGCCACTTCGTGCTCTTCGACTTCCCAGAACTCCATTCCCGGGCCACATTTTGGATGCCCGGAGCCAACTGTAGGCCACTTCGTGCTCTTCGACTTCCCAGAACTCCATTCCCGGGCCACATTTTGGATGCCCGGAGCCAACTGTAGGCCACTTCGTGCTCTTCAAGTTCCCAGAACTCCATTCCTGGGCACATTTTGAATGCCCGGAGCCAACTGTAGGCCACTTCGTGTTCTTCTAGTTCCCAGAACTCCATTCCTGGGCCACATTTTGAATGCTGAGGCAGGCTGATGCTGCGGCCGAGGCAGGCTGAGGCTGAGGCAGGCTGAAGGCTGAGGGCTGAGGCTGAAGCAGCTGAGGCTGAGGCTGAGGCAGGCTGAGGCTGAGGCTGAGGCAGGCTGATGCTGAGGCAGGCTGAGGCTGAGGCTGAGGCTGATGCAGGCTGAGGCTGAGGCAGGCTGAGGCTGAGGCCGAGGCTGAAGGCAGACTGAGGCTGAGGCTGAAGCAGGCTGAGGCTGAGGCTGAGGTAGGCTGAGGCTGAGGCAGGCTGAGGCTGAGGCTGAGGCAGGCTGAGGTTGAGGTTGTGACTGCGACTGCCGTTGCCGCTGCGACTGTCATCGCGAATGCGAGTACGACTGCGAGAACAGCAGAATTCTACAACTGGATTTTCATCTGAATCTTAAGGGGAATGCTTTCAGATATGCTTCTACACATCGCTGTTAGGTTGCTTTGCCGGGATGATTTTGGATTCCCAGATTCCAATGTACTTTCAGCGCCTTCCTACTTCAAGAGTCGAGTGGTTTTCCTCCTTCCTTCCTCTTCAGGAGGCGGGCGGAAACCCGATCTATTTCCAGCGCCTTCCTACTTCATGTTTCTACCCACTTCGTCCGACCGATGGGTAGAGGTGGAACGTGCGCCGTGGCGCCACTCGCCTCTGCCCGAGGAAGGCCCTCCAGGCCGGCTCCCACGGGAGGCTGGCCCGCTGTGGCCGAGCAGGGCGGCCAGGTCGCGGGAGGCCCCCGGCAGAGCCGCCGGGACCGCCCTGTCCGCGGGCGGCGAGGAGGAGTGAGGGAGGGCGGGAGGGCGGAGGAGGAGGAGGAGGAGGCGGAGGCGGAGGAGGCGGCGGAGGAGGGCCTGAGGAGGCGGGGGAAAAGGAGGAGGAGGAGGCGGAGGAGGAGGAGGAGGCGGCGGAGGAGGACCTGAGGAGGCGGGGGAAAAGGAGGAGATGGAGGAGGAGGAGGAGGAGGAGGAGGAGGAGGAGGAGGAGGAGGAGGAGGTTGTGGAAAAGGAGGAGGAGGAGGAGGAGGAGCCTCGCCCCGAGGCTCACGAGGAGCCTCCCCCCCCCGCGGGGCCCTCCCCCTCCTTGTGCAGCCAGGCCCGCGCCACGGGCCGGCGCATCTCGGCAGCCGCCCTGGGCTCGAGCGGCGGACTGGCTCCTTTCCCGGGGGAGGAAGAACCACCCTTACGTCGGGCCTGTCCCCCTACAGGGGGATTTTCGACGAAGAATAAAAAATACCCAAAAAATAATCAATAAATAATGCAAAAGTAGTATGAGGGTTATTATTTGAGTATGTTTTGACCTTTTTGGGTGATTTTTGGTGTATTTTGGATTTTTCGTCGAAATTCCCCCTGTAGGGGGACACGCCCGACATAAAACAACCCGGACCCGACAACTGGCGTTTACGAAACTCGGGCCGGACGAAAGGGGGGGATTGGGAAAGGGGGGGTTACGAAATTTGCTGCATGCAGCTGGTTTCGGCCTCACCGAGGGGCCCATTCCTCGACACATAGCCGCCTCTGGCGCCGGGAGGCGCCGGGAAAATCAGCTACGTGAGTTGATTCTCAACCCCCCCCTTTGCTATCCCCCCCTTTCGCCCGACCCGATAAACGGCCTCGGGCGTTACTAGACAGCCCCGCCCTGTTCGATTCCGTCTCTGGGTGCGTTGGCTGAACGGCTTCGCTTTGCCGGGGTGATCACTATCGGGGTGGATTTTCTGCCCTCGATCTGTCCCCGGGGCGTGCTCGCGTGGGCGCGAGCAGACCGTCAGGGGAGGACGGGGTTCCGATACCGCTGCCCAGACGTGCTCGCGCCTGGAAAAAGAAGCACGACCGGAGGTGCTGGTTTTGGGCGGCTTCCGGCCTCCAGCGGGCGACCGTCAATCTCCGAGCGCGTTCCACTGCTCGCAAAGTGCCCATTCGCAGACGCCCGAAAACCACACGTCTGCTTCGATGTAACGTATCGTAGATCCCCCGCGGCGGATCCAGTCCATTTGCGAGTAGCTGCTTTGCGAGTAGTGGAACGCGCTCGTCTAGTCAAGAACGGAGTGAGATGAAACCTTGGCTCAGGGGGAACCTCGGGGACCTCGAATGGAGCAAATCGAGACGTTGCATGTCTGAGGCTACCCTTCCCGCGTGTTCGCCTTCTTGGGCCTCCTGGGAGGCCCTCGTCGCCATGGTTGGATTCGCCTCGAGATTCTGGTCAGGACGCCGCCCGGGAGGGGTCATGGGAGCAGCGTATCGACACCTTTTGGCTTCCGCAGACCGTCCCCGGATCCTCTGCCATTCCGTCGGCATCGTTTTCGTCGATGAGGGCAGATGGCGCCGCCGTGCCCGCGGCGAGGGGGGCCGTGTGGACAGAGGGCGCCAAACCGTCACGAGGAAGAGGAGGAGGACCCGTGTCCCCGATCTTTGTTGGATCTTCCACTGCGTGGACCCCCGGAGGCCTCGACCCCTCCTCATGGACAGGGTGCTCGCCCTGATCCGTTGATTGGCCGTCCTGGGGCCTGGCGGGGCCCCCAGCGGCAGAACATGGCAGCAGAAGCCCGTCGTGACTTGTACGTCACGATGCGAGGGGAGAGCATGCTGGCTCGCACGAGCTTGATGCCAGCTTGAGAGCGTGCTGCCGCGCAGCTCCCCAGGGTGCCCGACTGGGTCGGGCGCCTCTTCGGGGCGCTTGCGGCAGCGCTTGTCGCCCGACCCTGCTCGCCAAAAGAGAATTGAAGATGCATTGGCTCCTGCAGTGGATCAGTCTTGTGCACTGGCGTGGAAGCTATCATACTGCTCCTGTCTGGTGGTGGGCCGGCTTGAGGCTTGTGATATGCCCAGCCCAGGCCCACCCCGTCCCGCTTCTGGGTGAGGCGCCGGCGTCGGAGGTTCAACCCTCGGTCTTTCCGCCCCCCCTTGAGTCAGCCGCACCCCTGCCGGCAGACCTTTTCCAGGCAAGGCGGCGCGCGGGCGCGAAAATCGAAGATGGGCTGGTAGGTAGCTGCGCGCCGCACACCGCGCGGCGCGAAGCGCGAAGCGCGATGTCGGGCGGCCTGGGCCCTCCCCAGAAGCTTCAACGCCTTGAGAATGCAAGACGAAGGGCTCTCACTGTTTTCGGCCTCCCTGGAGGCCCTCGCCAGGCCCCGGGAGCGTCAAGAAATTGCTCGGGATGAGGAGCTGGCCCTGGGGATTGGGTCTGGACTCCCAGGGGCCCCGTATTGGAAGACGCAAGTCGTCGGATGTCTTGGTCCGCCGTCCGCCATGCCCACGGTATCCAGACCGGGATCCCACAGTCTTCCAGAACGCGAGCGTATGGCATTCGACATCGCCCGTGAAGCCTTAACCCGTTGGGTCGGGCTTGGGATACGGGCTCTCCCTCCCCGGGCTGTAAGCGTTCCTCGGCGCATCCACTCCGGCTGTCTTACTCTGCCGGCTTCGCTGGACGTGTTCTTCCGTCTTCGTCTGCCCCTCCTCCTCTTCCTCCACCTCCATTTCCTCCACCTCCTCCTCCTTCGGATGCAATTCCCAGGAGGCTAGCTTCAGCATCGGCGCCGGTATACCCGTGGTCAAAAGCTGGCCTAATTTGGCGCAATCTTGCTAAATCGTAGTAAGACCAGTTCAATGTGGCTAAATCCTGGGCCTAGCTCTATAATCGCTTTGTCGGGATTTATCGCCCTTTTTCTGCGGAGAGCTCCCGGGAGTTACTTCCTGATCCCTTTTTCTCGGGGGGCCGATAGCGAACCGAAGCTGTAGGGCTGTCTGATGCGTCCCCAGAGGTCACCGCTTCCGGCGGTGGCGCAACTGCCCACCCTCGATGCCCATTTGATCGTTCAATTTCGCGGCTATGTTTCGCCAGTGGCATTGGCGGCTTGGGAGAGAGGCTTGCGTCGTCGTGATGCAGCTGGAACTTTTTGGAGCGATGGGGGATAGCATAGGCTAAGTACTTAGCATCGCTCGGACGTGTGCATTTTTTCTCGACGACGGCCATCGAGGAGCATACTGGGCCATTTTGCAAAGAAGAACGCACGAAACCGAGAAATGCACTGGGAATGGACGTCCGAGCGATGGCAGGAGTAGGGCCAGAGGTCTCTTGGATGCCTCTCGGAGCCTCTTGGGGTATCTCTTGGGCGATTCTTGGTGGCCTCTTGGGACGTCTTGGGGGTCTCTTGGCGCTCCTGGGGGGCTCTTCGGGGTCTTGGGTGCCTCGGGGGGGCCTATTTGGGCCGCTTAGGGTCTTCTTGGGGGCCTCCTGGGAGCCTCTTGGAGGCCTATTGGGGCCATCTTGGGGCCATCTTGGGACCTCTTGGGGCCTCCCGGGCGCTTCTTGGGGCCATTTTGGAGGAGATCGGTCCACGAAGGGAGGTTCCTCAATTACGCCCCCCCCCCAGGAGGCCAAAATGTGGCCAAAACCTTGTAAAATCAATGATTTTGGCTTCCTCGCCGAGGCCGTTTTGGACGCTCTAGCTACCCGCGGCCCTGCCCGTCCAGGTCCACGGGGTGGGGGTCGGGGGAGGGGTCAAGTTACCCCCTCCCCGCCCGCAAGCCGTCTCGCTCACTCCCACCCGCCCTCCCAACACATTCGTAGCACCCGAGTCTGGCCCGAGCCTCAGCATATTCAGCAGTCGTCTTTGGATGGGCAGCTACTGGGGGCCAATCCGCCGCCGCCGCCGCCGCCTCCGCCGCCGCCGCCGCCGCCGCTGCCCGCCGCCGCCGCCCCCGCCGCGCCGCGCCGCCGCCGCCGCTGCTGCCGCCGCGCCGCCGCCTCGCCGCCGCCGCCGCCGCCGCCGCCGCCGCCGCCGCCGCCGCCGCCGCCCCGTTGCCTAACGCAGCCGCAGCCGCTGCCGCCACCGCCGCCGCCGCCGCCGCCGCCGCCCCCGCCCCCGCCCCCGCCCCGCCCCCGCCCGCGCCGCCGCCGCCGCCGCCGCCGCAGCCGCCGCCGCCGCCGCAGCCGCCGCCGCCGCCGCCGCCAAGTGTACTCTGTATTGTTTTTTTGACAAGGATGGCGGGGGGGGGCGCATCGGGTTGGCTGCGCATGTTCCGAATTTGGAGGCAAAGTGTGTGTTTGCATTGTTTTTTACAAGGGATGGTGGGGGGGGGGCCGGCATGGACTCGGGTTGGCCCCCAGTCGCCTGGGGGAGGGGGTGTTTATTAATAAGGAACAGTGATAAACCCCTCCCCGAAGGGGAAGAGGGAGGGGTGGAAGAGGAAACGCCCTAAACCACCGACGCCCAGAGGGCTGGTGGGATTTGGTTTTCGCGTTCGTGCTGTGCACAGTCGTCCTCCAAGTTTGCATCAGCTACATCGGTGGAGGGCGGTTCCTTTTTCAAGGAATGGCAATCGCCTTGACGCCGCGCGCATTTTTTGCAACAAAATCCGACAATCGTTTCAAGGGTTTGTTGGATTGAAGACCCAGGGATTGGATTCAGGCACCGTTGAGGTTTGTCAGAACGCAACCGTCGCGTTGATTCGCGGCGTTAAAGTCCCAGGAAGTGTGTTCAGGCACGGTTTTGGGTATGTGAGGACGCAGCAGTCAGTTTGATGATTCTCGGACGGTTGTCTTTCGATGCGGCCCTTTCAGCAATGAAACGAATGTGTTGTAGGGGGCATATGAAGAGGGAACTTGGAAGGCGGATTGCATCATCGTTCATGCGTTTTGGGTCTGCACTGGTCTTCCTCCGCCTCGTCCTCCTCCTCCTCCGCTATTGCGACCCCCCAGACGAAGTGACCATAGCTACGCCGCACCAGATGTTTTGACGCTGCCCGCTTCTAGCCGACACGAGTTGGCCCGGAACCCGGCCCCGACGGCTCGATTGATCTCCTCAAACCCCCGACGTCGTGATTTTCTCGCAACGTCCCATTCCCTGGGACCGGCTTGGACGGTCCTGGTGCCGAGCGAGGGCCCCCAGTGGCCGAGAATAGCAAGAGTCGCCTGTCTTGTGTTTTAACGACGCGTGGTGGTCTGTGTTCTCTATCGCCTTGCGCCTCCCCCTCCTCCTCCTCCTCCTCCTCCTCCTCCTCCTCCTCCTCCTCCTCCTCCTCCTCCTCCTCTCCTTCTCCTCCTCCTCCTCCTCCTCCTCCTCCTCCTCCTCCTCCTCCTCCTCCTCCCATTTCTCCCTCTCCTCGTCCTCTTCCTTCCCTCCTTCTCCGCGTCCTCCTCCTCCTCCGCCTCCTCCTCCTCCTCCTCCTCCTCCTCCTCCTCCTCCTCCTCCTCCTCCTCGGGGCAACGATAGGGGGAGAATAGGCCCAGGGGGGGGAGCGCATCCACCCCCAATCGCCCGCTCATCGCCGACAGGGGCCCGAGGGCCCTCCCCTCCCCTGCCCCCCCGAGGAGGGCCTCGAGCACGCTCGAGAAGCTGCTCGGCGGGAAGGTGTCCTGCGACCTGGACGACTTCCTGCGGCCCCACGAGGACCCCGTCACGCGACAGAACAGCTCCGGGACCGTCGGGCCGCCCCGGGGGCCTGGGAGGCACGGGCCGGGTCGGGCGGCAGGGGGCGAGGAGGATCCAGACTTCCGGCCTCCAACACCCTCGCGTCTTGGTGACGGTTTCTGTTATTCATTGTTTTGCCAGTCGGCGCGGGCCCCCCAAACCCCCCCTCCCCGCCCCCCTGGAGTGGATCTTGTTTTTTTTGGGCGCCTGTTTCGAGCAGGGGGAGCCTCCCCCAGAATGGACGCCCTGTTCCAAACAGCCGCACTAAGCAGAGGTCCGGAGCCAGACCCCCCCCTCCCCCCCCTCTTCGCTAAATGTCGAAACGCCAAAAAAAGAACGCTCACCTTGGTGAAGTTGTTTGGTGTTGTTTCAGTTGTCGGCCTCCCAGAGCCCTTCTCGGGCCTCGGGACTGTCACACGCGGTGATGACCACCTTGGCGCAGCGCCAAGCGCGAAGAGAGGTGGCCCAATGCGGGCCCGGATTCTCGACGTCGTGAACTTTGTTGATTTGCCCCCCCTTCCATGGTCTCTTCGACCTCGCCCTGGGGGCTGGTTTTTCGTCCCTGGTTGTTCTCTGGTGGTCCCAGGCCTTCAAGCTGCCCGTGCGAGGCCCTCGGAGCATCGAAACTACATCAGAAGGCCCCCAGGACTTCATCCAAGAGAGCCTGAGAAACCTCTAGGATGGCTCTCGCCCACGTCTTGCACCAGGGGGTCGTTCGAAACAATGTTCCTAAAAGGGCCACCCGCACCCTGACAACGTCTGCGGGGTCGAGTAGAACCAAAGCGCGCTCGAAGCGCGCGTGGTTCTAGTGTATGTCTCTCTCTCTCTCTCCTTCTCTGTTGTTGCACTTTCTTTATGTGTGTTATATCTTGTTTTTTTCTCTCTCTCTCTCTCTCTCTCTCTCTTATGTATGTGTATACATATTTATACACACATCCATCCATCCATCCATCCATCCATAGATACATACATACATACATACATACAAGCCATACACATGTACTACATGCACATACTTATTCTACACGGGGAGGGGACCTGCCAGCTGCCCCGCGTCGCCATGGGGGCCCAGGCCTCCAGGAGCCGTCCTGGAGAGAGGCCCCCTGCCAGCTGCCGACCCAAGGCGCCGCCGAAAACTTGCTCGAGACGCCCCAAGGGCCGAATCTATACATATATATATATATATATATATATGTATCGATTGATCGGGTTTTCGATTGATTTTCATGAGTGCGCGTGTCCAGCTCCGATGCAATCCGAGACGGCCCCAGACGCCCTCGAGTTCGTTTTGAGACTGCCTGGGGAACTTCCGACACGGCCCCGAAACAGCCGCAGAGGGCCGCAGATGGCGAATTCGTCACGACGCCGCCGACACGGCACCGAAACACCTGTGACAGAGGCACTCAAGACGATGTTCGGCGGCGACAGCATTGCGCACTTGAAGAACATCGAGCGCGCGACAAACACTTGCCGGGGCAAGAACTACGAAGGCGGCGACGCCTGCTGGGCTGGAGGAGGGCGACGATGCCTACTGGTGCGAGGGTGAGTAGCATGGGGGACACGAGGAGACGGTCCCCGAGGAGCTCGAGGACGCACGCGACACGGCGGAGGATGCCTTCGCGAATTGCACGGAGGCCCAGGCGAAAATGAGAGCTGGCCAAAGCGAGAGGATTCTATTCGGCGGTGCAGTTGATAGATGGCCGACGAGGATTGCCGCCGCCGCGGGCCGGCAACATGTGGCCGCCACAAGGACGAGGGCGAGCAGGTTCGGGATCCGGCAAGTCCCGTGAAAGCTCCAGTAAAGGCAGAGCAAGGAGCAGATACGGCGGCAGAGTACCATATGGAGGCAGAGGTGGAGCCAGGGGTGGGCGACACCCCGACGGCTTGCCTAAGATGACAAGGCCCCGAAAAGACGACGATAGAGGAGGTGAACTTGGCTACGAGAAGAGGCGTCGGCGACAGTGGAGCGACGAACCCAGCAATCGGTCTCGTGGAGTGGCCAGCACGGCGCGAGAAGTTGCAGAAGATGGGCCCATCCAACAAGATCTAGGCGGCAAGGTGCCGCGAGACGTTTAGGTTCGGCAGCGGCGAGACTGCGGCGGCGAAGCAGCAGGTGGCAATCCCTGTCTGAGTGAAGAACGCGAAAAGGCAGATGGCGGTCTACCTCGCCCCAGGCCGAGCGTCGCTGCAGGCGGCAAAATCTTGTCTCGAGGAGCGGGGCGTGGTGATCGTTTTCCGCGACGGGAAGGCGATGTATCTAGACGGTCCGCCACCGGAGTGGATCGACATGGGGTCGAACGAGAATGGCCATATGATCATCGATCTGGCTAGCTCCCCGTCCGATGTGCTAGCGGCAGGCGAGGAGTCGAGCTCAACCAGCGCGGACGCCGACGGCGACCACGGGGTGGGGGGCGAGAAGGAAACGGGTTTCTCCGTGACCAGCAGCTACGTCGACGCCCAGATCGAGAACGCGGAGACCACGAAGTTCGATGCGAAGCAGCTGGAGGATTGGTTTTCAGAGACCAACCGCACTTTGGACAGTGAGCCGAAGGCAAGGAGGCGGTTCTGGGAGTTTTCGCGGCAGCAGGACGCATCGCGCATTGCGTGGAGAAGCGCGGCGACTTCAAGACGGAGAAGCTCGCGTAGGAAACAGGCTGGGGCTAACGAGCGGCTCGCATCGCAAGGCATTCATGCGGGAGTTGGCGAAGAAGTTACCTGGATAAGTGTGGATGGCCCCGCCGTGCACTGCATGGTCTGCGATCAGCGCGCTGGCAGAAGCGACCGAGGGCTACGGATGCCGACAGCAGCGACGGAGAGAGCGTGCCGAGCAGCAGCGTGAATTCCTGAGGTTCGGCCGAGGGATCTACCAGGCGCGGCAGCAGGCGGAGAGGCGCGCGCATCTAGAGCACCCTCGATACGCGACGTCGTGGGAGACCGAGGCGTGGTACGGCATGACGGGCTGCGACGCCTTCTTGGACCAGTGCGATTACGGACTCATGTCGTTGGACTCGGCAGGTCGAAGACTCGGGCCGATCAGGAAGCCGACTGGCGCAAGGACCTACAAGCTCCAGGTGCACGAGGGATTCTAGAAAACACTCAGCTGCAAAGAGACACGCGTGAGTTTCAAGGGCGGGCAGAGCATGCGCGGCGTGGGGGGCGACCCGCAGAACGATGGCAGCTACGCGGTGAAAGAGGTGATCCAGGAGGACCTCGACAATACCTAGTTAAAGATTTGTTTGGAAGGCGCTGCTGGATAAGTTGGCCTTTGCGGAGGTCAAGTGGGCAGAGAAGATACAGATCCAGATGGGCCATCCCTCGAGCGAGGCGCTGGCGGCAGCACTGAAGGAGATGAATGCGGGCGACCGACTGATCAGCATATGCGAGACATGCCTCAAGCCGCAGAGGCCGAAGTCAGCGCGAGTCGCCCGCGCCCCTCGGGGTCGAGGATTCAACGACGCCACGGACATCGACGCGTTCCATTTGGCGTGGAAGGAGAAGAACAAGACGAGGTTCACCATCGTGGGCGACAGCTCAAGGTTCAACCTCGATTCGGTGGGGATGGACGAGGAGGCGCGCGCCGAGATCAAGGCGATCGAGAAGCTCTGGATCAACTGGCCCGGAGCGCCGGCCTAGGTTCGAGTTGACCAGGGCGGCGCGCGCGCGAGGGGTGAGTTTACGAGGTGACAGTCGGCAGATCAAGCTGCAGTTGATTCCAAGGGATGCTGATCATTGGCTTGGCATGCTCGAGCGGAATCATCGCGTGCGACGGGAGCAGAGCGCGCGATATCATGAACATCATCTCGGGGACAGCTTGAAGCTTGCGGCGCGCATGACCTGCGACGCGCGCAACCAGCTGCGCAACGTGAAGGGTTGCACGCCATCGCAGCGGGCGATAGGAAGACAGCCAAAGAACCTGGGCAGCCTGGCAAGCGAGCCGACAACAGCGGGCGATCTCGGCGACCACGACAAGGAGTTCTACCGCAACCTGACGCGCTGGCGCGAAGCGGGCAGAGATTTTCTGGCGGCGAACGCGGCGGGAGCTGTTCGGGGGGCGCTGGCGGCGTTCCAGATTTGCGAGTGGGCGCATTTCTGGAGGCGCGACGAGGCAAGAGCGACCTCATCAAGAGCTACTGGAAGGGGCCGGCGATGATCACGCAGGTCGAGTACACCGACGATCCCGATCAGTCTAGACAGTCAGTGCCGCGGTGGGTTCATGGCAGCGCGCCCGCACGGACGACGCGCGAGCTGTTCCGAGCCGAACTGTGCCAGAGGAGCGACGGCAAAGAGAACGAGAAGATGACGATCACGGACCGCCGATGTCAACGGCCGAGCGAGTGCTAGAGAAGCTGACGAAATCAGCGGATCCACGGGTGAACTTATTGATCAGCCGGAGGACTGCGAGGGCGAGCGCTTCCCCATGCAGATGGACATAGAGGGCGTCGACACTGACGGCCAGAAGGAGGCGACCGAGGCCGATCGGCAGGGCGACCACCGCGAGGGCGAGCAGAGCGACGACGGCGACCGAGGAGTGCCCGAGGCGGCCGAGATGCAGGCGCCCACGGCGCCCGAGCCCCCGCGCCCGGGCGTCTCGGCTGACGCGTCGCAGGACGCGGGAGGCCTAGCGGTGGGGCGCGAGAAGGCACCAGCTGGAACAGGTCCTGAGCAGGTCGAGATGGGGCAGACGACGAACCGGACCGCGGTTGAGAAGCGAAAGGCGGAGGAGCACACGGCCGTGAACGGTGGCGAGTTCTTGGGCGCCATCGACGCGGCAAGGCGATCGGGCGGATTACGGCCACTACCGAAGAGGCCAAGGCTGACCGACGTGACGTCAGTGGACAGCGAACGCAGCTAGCAGCGGCGAAGGCGACGAGCTACTGCTACTGCACGAGGGCGCGGACACGGTCTACCTGACCAATGCGGACAGGAAGGATTCGGCGGTGGAGGCCAGGCTAAAGTTTAGACGAGCGGAGGCAGTTTGACGAGGCGAAGACCAAGGCGCTGCAGCAATGGATCGAGAACCAGGCGTCGCAGGCACTGCAGGGGAACGTGGCGGACGCTGGAGAAGTGCGCCCCATTCGCTTCCCGCTGACATTGAGAGCGAAGGATGGGGCGAAAGAGACGAGCGCGAGAGTGATCCTACAAGGCTTTCACTTGGAGGAGGTGACCAGCACTAACGAGGTTCCTTCATTATGCTCATTCTGCGCTAGCAAGCTTGGAAGCTGGCGGCAGCGGGCGCGAAGGGTGCATTCCTTCGGGCGAAGGACATCAGAGAGCAAGGAGTTCGGATTTCCAGCAGGCCGACCAAGGGCACGCGACGTCGACCGGCGCAGATGGTCGGCTTGCAGGACGACGAGATCCTGCAGGTGTTGAAGCCTGGTCGTGGAGACGCACGAGCCCCCAGGCAGTGGAATCAGACGATCACGGAGGCCATGCTCGAGATTGGCTTCCTGCAGCACGCGCTGGACAGGCGCTGTTTCCAGTCGCGCCGCCGGGCGCCCGACGGGGGCGATCCGTTCCTGATCTGGCAGGCGGGCGACGACCAGCGCAACGTGTTGGACGGCGTGCTTGGGCTGCACGTGGGCGACTTCATCGGCGGCGGCGAGGACTTCGAGCGCGAGGAGGACCTCTACGACAATCAGGCGTACGAGGGCACCTTCTTGGACACGGTGCAGTGGCTCAACCAGAGGTTCAAGTTCGGTAGGTGGGAGCTCTCGAACAGCATCTTTTTCTGCGGCATGGAGAACACGCAGTCGTTTCCACGCGATGATTGAGGCGAAGGACGCGGCCTACATACACAAGGTGAAGCCGATTAGGGTCGAGAAGACGAGGGGCGCACCCGGGCGACCCGTGCGCGCCGAGGGAGATGAGTCAGCTCAGAGGACTAAACGGAGCCGCGCAGTGGCCGGCGTCTCAGCGCATGGCGCAGGCGGCGGCGACGGTTTCGTTCGCGCAGGTCGACGTCAGCAAGGCGACGGCCGGTAGACTACTGGAGACCAACAAGTCGTTGAGGTACCTGAAGGCGAGTGGCGACGTGGGGATCCGCATCGAGCACATGGGAACCTGGCGCAAGTTGAGACTTGGAGTCTATTGGGACGCGTCTTGGGCTACGAGGCCGACCGGCGAATCGCGGGGCGGCTGCTCTATCTTCGTGATCGAGGATGCCAGGATCGACGACGGACAGCCAACGCAGTTGATGATAGGAGACAGGGCGAGGAAGAAGCTCGCGAGGATCTGTCGGCGCTCTTTGGCAGGCGATGCCCAGGGCGCGACGAACGCAGCGGGCGCGCTGGAGGTTGTGAAGAGTGAGCTCAGGAAGATGCTCTTCCCTGCGACGCAGCTGGAAGGTGCGGGGATGTTGAAGGAATTGGGGGCGCAGCCCATGCATCGCGGACTGCGCGGCGCTGTGCGACGCGGCGAACTCTCAGGCGGCAGCTGGGGGCTTGACAGAGCGCAGGGCCAGGATCGAGATCTTGCAGGTCCATGAGACAATGCAGGATTTCGGAGGTGCATGGAAATGGGCCAACACGCATCAGCAACTGGCGGACGGTCTTACGAAGCAGCAGTTCGTGGAGCAGCTGAGAGGGATGACGCGCGCACCCAAGTGCGACGCGGCGTTCACGGCAGGCAAGAAAGTTAGTCAGAAAGAACGAGCTCAAGCCGATAGAAAATGGCTGGACGAAGCGGCGGCGGACTACGATGAGGCGAATCAGTCTGGAGACGCAGAAAACGAGGACAGCGACGAGCATGAGGACCAGCTGAGAGAGCATGTGCGCGCGGTGCCCTCGCGGCAAGGAAGATTGCACATATCGTGGTTGCGGCGGCCACGAAACGTGCCGAGGGCGAGAAGAACGAGAAGGTAGAGACGGAGTTTCCATGGGTACTGGTTCCGCTGTTTGTTCTGATGGTGGCGATTCTATGTGGTTGTGGATGCGCACTGAAGGCCATGCGCTGGCTCAAGTATACGGCTGAGCAGAAGCGGATGGACGGGGTGCGCGCGCATCGAGATGCGCGTGCGACGGCCGAGCAGAAGGCCGACGCGGCGACGATGGGGCATAGAGCGAACGACGAGTGAGGGCCGGCCAACAAGAAGCTTGCGCGGACGGCCGGTTCCCAGAGCCAGTGCACGCACAGGCGTGACCTCACCGCGCCGAGGTTTCAGTATTTGCGAGAGCTCAAACAGACGGCATCATTGAGCGCCGAGTTTGAGGCCTGAGCCCATGACCAGATCGAGGATGGAAGATTCACCCCCGGCCAGATATTACGGCATGGATGCGGGCGCGTTTCGTGCTATTTGGGAGAATGTCCTCGTGATGCGCGTGCTGTCGCGCGCACGAGTTTGCACCGACGCCGTTGTTGATCAAATGCCGTGGGGCCCCTGAGTCAATCAAAACTACGAGCGAATCTCTTCGATTCCCTTTCTAATTGTTGTTCTGTTCTGTGTAGTTCTTTATTCGCGCGAGAGAACCTCGGCGGATCCAGAGGAGTGCCACCGACTCCCGAGACCTGTCCAAATTGGTCCAGTGAGGCCCAACAAAAAAGAAGCGACGACCCAAGGCGCTCAGGACAGCTTCCGAAAAGCCCAGGGTGCTTCCGATGCGCCCCCAGAAGCCTGTCGCAACCTTCCCAAGAGCGCTTCAAGACGGCCG